CCTTGTTTAACAAATAAAAATTGACTGAAACAAATCAATTACGTCGAAAATGTTCGTCGGTTCTTAAACCAGAAGTCATTCATTTTAATTTGTCAAAATATTGAATGTGTCATATGAATAAATCTACGACAACCCTTTTTTTTCAAGTTTCAAGGTCAAGTATGAACCCTGGTGAAACGAACCTTACCTACATACTTGGTTAGTAGATGTACTTCAATAATCCAAAAAAATGGAAAAATAAATGACTGAACTAGCGATAAATAAATAAATAAACAATTCACCAATAATCATAACACGACACACAACCTCACTTTCTTACAGCTGGCTTTAGACTAGACCCGACGTACGTCCATCGAAAACAGGCACTTTTAATTAAAATCATTTGTATTTTTAATTCATAGGTCTAAGAAAACAATTAGAGCATGAATTATAGAGAAATATGTTCAAAGTTTGACGTATAATAGGTTCAAATACTAAGTTATGCCCAGAACCCAAGATATTCCCGTCTGAAAATCACTCTTTTGAATCCCCCATAAGAAATACATTGCTGTCAAATTTGTTGAAATGTGATTGGGAACCCATTTTAATGGCGTTTCCGATTGGTAGATTCAGTGCGCACTGAGTGTATTTGCATCCTTTTAATCGACCTGTAGGAGAAAAAGAGAGAAATAGAAAAAATTGCACTAGTTCCGCACTAAATCTACCAATCGGAAACGCCATAAATTTCGCGCCCGATTTTTCCTAACCTAACTAATATGGTGAATTATTTCCAAGTATACAGAGTGGCCCAATAAGTAGTGCTGATACAAAGTTATGATTTTTTTTAAATGACTCCCCCTGTATATTATGACATTTCTGAATTATGTGGAAAATTCTAGAGATATTTCATGTACATTGTCATATAGAGATGTAAAAAAACGTTTTTTTTTCAGATTTGAAAAAAAACATTTAAAAAAAACCAGAAAAAGAACGTTTTTTTTGTTTTTTTTTCTAAATGATTCAAATGTAAAAACAGGTTTTTTTCAGAATAAAAAAAAAAACATGAAAAAAAAAACTAGAAAAAAATAGTTATTTATACAACAAGTGTGTAAAGTGAACCTTTTTTCACGAATGTGAATCTTGACGCACGAGCCAAAGGCGAGTGCGAAAATCACATGAGTGAAAAAAGGTGCTTTACGCACGTATTGCATACAAAATTTTTTCTACTACCAATCAAATATGTGTAAAAAAATAGATTTAGACAAATACTTTACGCACTAGTGCGTGAAGAATTTTCACTTTACACACTAGTGTGTAAAATAATTTACCAAAAAAATACGAAATTGACAGTGTTGACATCTGTCATTGACATTAGACATTACTTTACGCACTAGTGTGTGAAGTGAATTATTTTACACATTAGTGCGTGAATGAAATTTTACGTCTTCTGAATAGTGCGTAAAGTGAGTACTTTACGCACAGTAGTAGAAAATAGTTATTTATGCAACAAGTGTGTAAAGTAAAACTTTTTTCACGAATGTGAATTTTGACAATCACATGAGTGAAAAAAGGTGCTTTACGCACGTATTGTATACAAAATTTTTTCTACTACCAATCAAATATGTGTCAAAAAATAGATTTAGACTAATACTTTACACACTAATGCGTGAAATATTTCCACTTTACGCACTAGTGCGTGAAGTGATTTACCAGAAAAATACTAAATTAACAGTGTCAACATCTGTCATTGACATTACTTTACGCACTAGTGCGTGAAGTTAAATTTTACGTCTTCTAAATACTGCGTAAAGTGGGTACTTTACGCACGGTAGTAGAAAAACACGTTTTTGTGTTTTTTCCCAAATAATTTAATTTTAAAATTCGTGAGTATCTCCAAAAACGGACATTTGATTACCCTGGAGACGGAGTTACAGTCTGAAAATTCTTCAGACAGCGAAAGTGTCTCATATCAATGATGTTCTGTTCTAATATGTATGTTATATGAATATGATGAATGTATGCTGTGATATACAGGGTGGCCAATTGAAAACGAAACAGAGGTGATTTTGGGCTCCCCAAGACATTTAAGAAAAAACCCTCGTACCCGTCGATTTTTGATTTAAGGGGGAACCATTTTCCTGGTGGTTTCACCCCTTGGGGGGCAAAGCCCTAGCGGGGGTGACAAGGGCCCCCAAATTTTTAAATGGAATGAGGGGTCGAGTGATACCTTATTTTGAAGCTATTTTTATGTAAATTATAACCCCCGAGTCTCACATCGCTACTATCTACCTAGCCATTACAGGGGCTAATTAAAGTTACAAAAACATGTTAGAATATTTTTATTTAAGAAAATGCTTTAAAAACAAAATCAATCAAGTAAATGCTGAAAATGACCTCAGAAGAAAAAATCTAACGGGCTTAAATCTGGAGAACGCGCGGGCCACTCCTTCGATTCCATTGCCCTTTGTCCTGGAAACCTTTGGTCCAAATATTGACGAATCACTGCAGCATAGTGGGGTGGCGCACCATTTTATTGGAATATTAGACGGTTTTCCATGTATCCGTTATCATTCTAGTATCTCCACTAATTCTGGATGAATCGCATCTTCTTATCACTCTAGGTACATTGCTCCTGTTAAATTTATAGGTAAAGAAGGGGTCTATTATACGGTTACCAAAAATGCTAGCCTAAACACTCAATTTATCGGGATGTTGCGTATGTACCTCACGAAATATGTTTTCTTGGATTTGAATAAGCCCAATAGCGGCAGTTGAGACGATTTACCGTACCGTTCAATAAAAAAGGAGCATTCATCAGAGAAATATACAAACTGCTGCTTCATTTATTGAAAAAAAATAATTGGGTTATGAGTTGTTCAATAGTGAGGGAGGAGGAAATAAAACGGAAAAGGGGGTTAGTAGGACATCAACTAAAATACCATTTAATTATACTCCATTATTTAATACAATTTTTTTATATTCAATACAATATTTATTTAATACAATATTTCCAGGTATAATACGTACGAAATAACGTCCTAGGGCATTATGGAGATGTAGATTATTTGAGTGTTTGGGCTAGCATTGTTGATAACCGTAAATAGGCCCCTTTTTTACCTATAAATTTAATAGGAGAAATGTACCTAGAGTGGTTAGAAGTTGCGATTCATCCAAAATTGGTGGAGATACTAGAGAATGATAACAGATGCATACACTAATATTCCAACAAGATTGTGCGTCATCCCATTATGCTGCAGTGGCTCGTCAATATTGAGTGGCCCCCGCGTTCTCCAGATTTTAGCCCATTATATTTTTTCTTCTGAGGTCATTTTCAGCATTTACTTGATTGATTTTGTTTTTAAAGCATTTTTTTAAATAAAAATATTTCAACATGTTTTTGTAACTTTAATTAGCCCCTGTAATGGCTAGGTAGATAGTAGCGATGTGAGACTCGAGGGTTATAATCTACATAAAAATAGCTTCAAAATAAGGTATCACTCGACCCCTCATTCCATTTAAAATTTTGGGGGCCCTTGTCACCCCCGCTAGGGCTTTGCCCCCCAAGGGGTGAAACCACCAGGAAAATGGTTCCCCCTTAAATCAAAAATCGACGGGTACGAGGGTTTTTTCTTAAATGTCTTGGGGAGCCCGAAATCACCTCTGTTTCGTTTTCAATTGGCCACCCTGTATGTGTAATATAATATGATAGTTGATACATTGATGTAGGTACCATGTGCCTGACCTGACAACATGTTGTATTTACATAATAGTATTATTCCTATGTTATTTCTAGAATAAAGCAATATTTTACGTTTTATCCATGACCATATTTCACTGCCTAAACCAATTCCTTGTCCCAAGAAAAGTTTAATTGGCAAAAAACGTAAAAAATGCGCATATGGTGCTAAGTTTAGAAAAAAACACAAAATCTGAAAAAAAAAACCATTTAAAAAAAACCATGAAAAAAAACTTGAAAAAAAAACAAAAAAAAACGGATTGTTTTTTTTTACATTACATCTCTATTGTCATATACCTATTTTCAACTGTTTCGGAAATATTGACAGTAAAAAATTGACTCTTTGCAACTTTGACAGGCTGTGAAGCCCAATTGAAGCCTTAACGGTTAATTTTAGAGGAAATCCGATTTTACATTCCTTTCTTAGATTTTCATAAGCTATAATTTGACACCAACTTTGAATTTAACGAGAGATTAATAATTTAAACGGAATTTTTAATCATGGATTAAATTCAAGTGTGTCAAATGAAAGTTTATGAAAAACTAAGAAAAGAATGTATGATCGGTTTTGCTGTAAAATTAACCGTTCAGGTTTTACAGTCTGTCAAAGATGCAAAAAAGTCAATTTTCAACAGTCAATATTTTCGAAACAGTTGAAAATAAGTATATGATTTTATACATGAAATATTTCTAGAATTTTCCGCAAAATCAGAAATGTCATAATATACAGGAGGAGGCATTTAAAAAACCATAGCTTTGGGCTACCACTACTTATTGGGCCACCCTGTATACTAGAAAATAATTTAGGAATGTAGTACTCATATTTATCTAAAAGTTTTGTATTTAGTTTTTTCTTCGATCTCGATAGGAGATATGGACCACCGCGCGCTTAGTAACTCACCCTGTATACAAAATAGGTAAAACGGGTAACGAATTCTTCACCTCACAAGAATAAAAATTCTATTAAGAAAAAAAGTCTGCATTTCAAATCACTATTTGAGGCTGCGACACACTTCAGTAATTGAATATTTAATCACAATGTTCAGCTTCATTGGAGAATATGTTTCGACAATTCAATAATCACTCAGGGCCAAATTTATAGTTGTTCCTTGTGTCTTCCTCGGAGGTGGTGAGTTTAGAATTGACATTTTGTTACTATTTGACAAATTACTCATGTCAACTCTAAAAGTTTAAGGCTTCCTCAAGGTCTGAGGAAACCTCAAGCAGCGACTATAAATTCGACCTTCAGAACACCTATTAATTAAGTTATTACAATTTTTTTTAGATAATTGACATTAAACCAGATACTGATACAATTCCCGATGACCCAACCTTACTCTATGCAGGCTTGAAAACATTAACACCAAAATGTCTTGACGAAATAGCCTCCTATTTAGACAAAGGCGAAAAATATATGCATTTAGCCGAATTGTTCGATTTTGCGCATTTACTGCAAACTCCAATGTTCCAAAATGGAGAAAGCATCAGCAAAAATATATTGAGACATGCGTCTGAGGTAAGTTTGAATTTATAACTATTGAACTATATGACAGAGTTACTTTTTTCAGAGCGAAGGAGGTTTATTGATGTTGAGAGAATTTTTGAATTTGTTGGAGGAGCCATTGGCTGTGGCCGCAATGGACCATATGGCGAGAGAACGGTTCTAAAAATATAATGTATTATTTTTCATTAAGTTCATTTTTTTATTTAGTAACACAGTTGACGTTTATACAAAGAAGTACTGTGATAAGAAATAAAGTTGATTTACATAAATATGTATTAGAACTTTAAATTTTGTAAGCCTAATGAATATAAATAACTTGAAACGTCATAATATGTGCTATTCTTGCCCCTTGTTTTTGCGTTCATGCATTGACTCTATAAGAATTTAATCATTTTTTATGTTCAAATTGATAATTTAGCAAAATCTAGCGATTTATTTAATTACCTTAAGCAAATTCAGTCACAATTTTTCTTTCTTAGGGCAATTAACAATATATTATTCAATATCTCTTCATTCTCTCCCCTACGAAAGTAGATGTTTTTTATCTTGCATAAACGACCGAAAGTGAAACATGCTAGTACTTACTTTCACTTTCGCATGCCTATTTACAATTTTTGAGGGGCAATAATGAAAAGTTTGATACATTACACGCTGCAAAAGCCATTTTAGGTTCTCGGAGGCATTCAAATAGCCTCGGCTGCTCTCCGCTTCGCCTCGGCTATTTGAATACACCTCACAGCCAAAAATACGCTTCCACAGCTTGGAATGTAAACAGTGGCGTATCTACCGGTGTGCCATACAGGCCCGGGCCCGAGAGGGGCCCGTGGAGCTCTATAGCGAAACTGCAAAAAAAAAATACTGAAACAGGAGATCCTTAAAAGATCCATAACAGGAATTCTAGGCTTCAAAAATTTTTCGCATTTAAAAAATTTCCGGATGGAAAATACGTCCCTGATGCAATTTTGACGCGTTGCTATGACAAAAGTGACTGAATCTCAGACAGAAGTGTTGTAACAATATGGCGGAAGTGGGATACGCTTTTTTCTCCCTATGTCGCCTCTTTATTATTCTCAATCTCAATGATTTTTCCTTAATTTTGCCTAAATAAGTCAATTTTCTTTGAATTTTTCCTGGAGTGATTTTTCACTGGAAAATTTCGAAATTTCCCTATAATGAGTTCCTCACTTTTCTCTTTATCCTGGAAAATTTTCAAAATTTTCCCTTTAGCAGTTTTCCAAAAAAAAAATTAAATGTGAAAGGATGAATTTTGCTTAAGAAAGTCAATTTTCCAGAACTTTCCTATTGACTTTCCTTCGAGTGATTTTTCAATTTTGAAAATTTCTTATAATGAACTCCTCATTTTCTTCTTTCTTCTGGAAAAATTTCACAAGTTTTGCTTTATTAGTTTTCCAGAAATAAATTAAAATGTGAGAGGATGAGTTTTTATTAATTTTACTTGAAAAAATCATTTTTTCAGAATTTTTCCTGGAGCGATTTTTCAATGGAAAATTTTGGAATTTTCTTATGATGAGCTCCTGACTTTCCTCTTTTGCCAATTTTCCAGGAAACAATTGAAATGTGAGAGGATGAATTTTCTTTAATTTTACTTGAAAAAGTCAATTTTCCAGAATTTTCCCTAGAGTGATTTTTCACTGAAAAATTTCGAAATTTTCCTATAATGAGCTCCTCGCTTTCCTCTTTTTCTTGGAAAATTTTCGAAAATTTTCCCTATGCCAGTTTCCAAAAAAAAATTAAAATGTAAGAACTGAATTTTCCTTAAATAAGTCAATTTTCCAGAATTTTTTATGGAGTGATTTTTCATTTGAAAATTTTAAAATTTTTGCAATAATTTCTGTAATTTTCATAGTTTTTCGTAATGTCCATAATTCTCGTAATTTTTCGTTATTCACGTAATTTTTCATAATTAAAAAAAAAAATTTGCCTCCGGTGGGGGGCTTGTGATGAGCTCGCAGAAATGTTGGCACAGGCCCGGAGCTGGGTTTATACGCCACTGAATGTAAATAACTAGTCTCTATCTCTTTGCTTACCTCGTTATTATAAAAACTGTCACATCCTCTTGCAAATTACCTGGAATTCAAAGGTTCACTTCTATCGCATTTAAACTAAACTTTATTATTCAGAAATTATATAGACATGTGTTTTTTTCATTCTCTCATAGGAAAAATCCTATTAGGTAATCTATATGTCTCAATTGCCGCACACTTTTTCGTTTCACATGAAGAAGTTTTAACAAAATAAGTAAAATCATGTGCAGCGCCGTATACGTGTTAGAAGTGAAACTTCTTAAAAAACTATCTCTCCCCTAAACACCTTTTAAACTTAGCGTACGAGTCGGGGTGAAATGAAGGACCACACACAAAATGGAGACGCGCAATGCGCATCTGTAGTGACGTCACAAGGGTATCTGCGCTTGACAATAACAGGAATCCCGGGCTGTGTTCAGGAATGGCTACAGCCAAGCCAAAATTGGTATTTTGCGTTCGAGTTCGGCTCCAACCTACGTGGTTCAGCATTACAGGTGGAGGGGGAAATGTAGGTTTTGGCATTAGTATTGCCGTCCTTGAACGCACCCCTTGTTTGCTTATAATCCTTAGTTTGGGTCAATCGTTTGTCGGCTGGCATTGTCATTGGCTGTATCTCTTCGTCCCTCTACGTTACATCTTTCTTCTTCTCTCTACGTGACGCGTCTTTCAAATCACTCTGCATTCTTGTCCAAATAGTTATCACACATTTTTTGGAATCTTGCATACAGAACAGTTACAAGTACTCGAAACAGATAGAAATGAAAATTTTTGTGGCATTGTCATTGGCTGTCTTTCTCCGTTATAATTTTCTTCTTTTCGTGTAACGAAATTTGCCAAAACGTGACACGTCTTTCAAATCACTCTCCATTCTTATCCAAATATCAGACCGCCGTGTGAGAAGTTTCACTTCAAAAAGTCGACGTAGACAAAACCTTGTAAACGATGTCAAATTCGAAAATGTTATTAAGTACTTATTTATTTCTACAAACTTCTCTTTCCGCCGTTCTCAAGATAGCAGGTTGTTCCGAGTTGAATGGGTCAGCCTATATTAATAAGTTTATTAAGGGCCAAATACTGGACCAACTGGTAACGTTAATGGCAAATTTAACCTGCTGGTAAAACTAAAAATTGCATGCAATTTGCAATTTTTACCAGCAGGTTAAATTTGCCAAAGACTTTATCAGTCGGTCCATAATTTGGCTCTGTGCCACAGGGACGTTGTCCATAAACAAAAGGAAAATACGCCCTCAAACAAGGGCTAATGTAATAACACACTGTTGGCAGAACAGTTCAAATTACTCGTCATTAGTTACCTTTTCTTATTCGCCAAAGTTAAACTTTCAAAATTAAAAAAATTGAAGCAATATAATTAAGTGACATTCTATATTTCAGGCTCTCAGAAAAAAAACATATTTAAAAGTGGATTTTATTATTTGTTTAAATTATTTAACATAAAAGATGGAAATCAATAATAAGTAAGTTTTGTTTTTCGATATTATACTGGGTTGGTCTTGACCAAAAAGAAAAATATATTTCTAGTCACATTTATTTCAAATTTAAACATCTAAATAATTTCACAGTAGTAACTTTTTCAAGTGGTTACTTTTTTTCCTATGTAATTAAACTTAGTACAAATACAAGAATGAAATATGTAGGGAAATAATTCTTACTTTAATAATATTTTGTATTTATTTGAAAATACTATAATAAAAACCTACATTACAGTACATTAACATTATGGGACATAAACAGTTAAAAGTAAATCAGCCTCCTGATTTTTAAATAAATAAACACTTTCAATTAAAACAATATAATAAAAAATAGAAAAAATCACTTCATTTAACTACCAGGAGCATTTTTTATAGTGAAAAGGAAAGTATTGTTATTAAATTTAAAAAGGGATACATTCTAATTAAGTGCACGTTTATTACGAGATCACAAAGTATGAAAGTTAGATGTAGTAGAAGTAGTAGTAGTGAATTTCCTAATTTCTTGTATCCCCTATCTAACATCAAATTTTAATATTATTAATTAGAGAACAGTAGCAATATTTTAAAACGTTTAATTAATTAATTATTAGATACTGTTTCATACTTTGTGAAAGTTGTCTGAAAAATTCATTATTTGTTTTATCTAAAGAAGTAGCACAGATTTGTTTACAGTACCGAGAGGTGCCCCACCAAACGCCTCAATTGAAAAAGGAAAAAGCTTAGAGTGGGGACACGCCCAACAAAATTATATTACAAAAATTTACACATAATTAATTTATAAATATTTATTTTGTAATTAATAATAATTAAAGTATGTCTTGTAAATTAAATAACAGTAAAGTTATTCACATAGTGGCCCGGCAGATGCCAATATACAAGCATATTAAAGTTCGGTTGATGTGAAAAATGTTTTTGTTGTTGTTTTACGGGCCGAGGTGAAACAATGGAAAGCTGAAATGCAAAATGTTGGCTTCTTCACTTTGACGTCATCATGGTGACAAACTCTGAAACAAAAAAAAAATTATGATTCTTTTCCGAAGTTTTGTTAGTAAAGTCAACATTTAACATGGCAATTTTCTAATTTTTTTTAAATTTTCTCTTACCAAACAATAGCAGTTTTTTTTTTTTGGGTAGGTTATATATAATAATTGTTGCTTTACTTTTAGGCTACCATTCTTTAGCAAGATAGAAAAAAAAAAAACAACAAAATAAATCTATATCCAACAATAATAGATTAACAAAAAAGAAAAAGAAAGAGGCACCAACGAATCGCAACAAAACAGCGACCATTGTTTCTTGTGATTGTTACATGTAGTGGTAAAGCTGAAAAAAGCAGAAGCACAGCTTCAAGGAAATTGAATAATGAATCTTTTCCTATATGCTAGCGTCCAAGTACACTTAATCTTGTGATCTATTCATATACAGAAACTGACCAATAATAGGAATAAAACTGCATAATATTATTAATTTATTGCTATATATAAGTCTCATAGACCTGAATTTTTGATCAAAAAAAGAAATATTATGGAGGTATATTATGTGGTTGCATAATTGATAAGTTCATTATAATCTTTCTGAAAAATAATATGAAAATCTGCTCTTTGTCACTCTACACATTTTCCATCAACTAATAAATTACCTTCTCAATCTTGGTTGCAAAAAATAGATAATTTACTAAAATGTATTCCGTTTCCAGAAAGTGGTTTGCCAAAGTGGCCCATCCAGAAAAGAAAGCAAAGTAGGTCTGGATATATTTCAGTCAATTAACATCCTCTAATAAATATATAATAAAATTATTGTTTTTGAACCGGCTAACTAGAAAATAAAAATACTTCGTGCGCTTTGCTGCAAACAACATACATTAAAAAAAAACAAAGCAAGTATAGGACAGCGCAAGCCACATTCACAAATATAAAGTACAAAGCAGACTACAAAAACTGACCAGCTTGAAGCGCGTGTGACTGCTGTAATCGAGTACTGATTGAAAACTATGAGCGATAGAGCTCGGAAATCTGCAAATAATGAAAATACACACTACCAGTCATACGCTAGCCAAACTCAACTATAAATAAAAATAATATATAATAGTTATTTATGTTATTGGGTCATAAAGTTGGTCTCTTTTTGTGCTGACCTCAAGGTTTGAAGGCCAAGCACAAAAAGTTCTTCAAAGGACTGCAATTTTTCCTTTCACAACTTCTGTTTTGTGTCAAGTGTTGAGGACAATAAATTTCAAATAATAATAAAATATACCATGTGACCCAAAAAAAAACGCATCACCCAACAAAAGTGAATATTTTTTTTCCTACGACCACATACGAAAATGACAAAATCCGCACTAGGTGGTTCTTTGAAAAGCGCTTAATATCACACGTGTGCTGAAAGTACTTTCAATACGCGTACTGAAAGTACTTTCAGCACACATGTGGAAAATACCGTTGACATTATTTGTGATTGACATTGACAATTTACTTTCAATATGTGGGTTGAAAGTTGAGAATACTTTCAGCACGTGTATTGAAAATGAAAAGAAATAAAATAAGAGAAAATTGGTGTAAATTTGTAAAATTGATCGTAGGAAAAATGTTGTACAGGGTGTCCGAATTTAGATGGTTTTAATAGGAAACGTCAATTTCTGAGCGAGATACAAAAAAATGAAGCCCCCACTCCGAGGCTCAAATTTCTTGAAATTTTGATTGGTGCAAACCGCATTTTGATATCTTCAACCGTTTAGCCGCTAGAGGGCGATTCTCGATTTTGAGCAATAATGTGGAACCATCATAACTTTTTTGCTCGCTTTTTTGTTTATGAAAATTATTGATTTCCGTAAAAACATTCTAGAAGCACTTTTTAAAGCAGAATTCAGTGACATTCTCAGTTTTTTTCTAGTTGGTCCCAACTCCGAGATATTGACCAAAGTCTGTCTTTTTCAATAGGACACTCTATATATTAATAGCTCATTAGAAAGCTCGGCTTTTTCTGATTTCAATGATAAAAAGTTCGATAGGTTTATCTGTAATAGTTTTCGAGAAAAAAAATTATTTCAGTTTTTGTCATAAGAAGCAATGTGTAAGAAAAGGACTTTATATCTGGAAGGAAACTGAGAAAGATCTCTGTCTAACTCATTGTTTCTTATGACAAAAGCCGAAATATTTTTTTTCTCGAAAACTGTTAGAGATAAACCTATGGAAATTTGTATCACTGAAATCAGCAAAAGCAGAGCTTTCTAATGAACTATTAATATATAAGGTGTCCCATTGAAAAAAATCGTATTTTGGTCAATATTTTGGAATCGAGGCCGAGTAGAAAAAAACTGAAAACGTCACTGAATTCTGCTTGAAAAATGCTTCTAGGAAGTTTTTACGGAAATCAGTTATTTTCATAAACAAAAAAGTTATGAAGATTTCACAGTATTGCTCAAAATCCAAAATCGCCCTCTAGCGGCTAAACGGTTGAAGATATCAAAATGCGGTTTGCACCAATCAAAATTTCAAGAAATTTGAGCCACGGAATGGGGGGTTCATTTTTTTGTATCTCGCTCAGAAATTAACGTTTCCTATTAAAACCATCCAAATTCGGACACCCTGTACATCACTCGTGAAAAAGCGTTTTTCATACACTCGTGTGATTTTCGCACTCGGCTACCGCCTCGCGCGAAAAAGTACTTGTGTGAAATTTGTCACTTTCTACACTCGTAATGTAATATACTATTAACAAATTTTCTATATTATTACGTTAATGGTGTAAAAAATAATAATTACTAATCAAATTTTAATTTCAATAGCCCAAGCATATATACAGAATTTGGTTAACAAATATTTACTTCTACGGGGTGATGCGTTGTTTTTAGTCACACAGTATACAGAGTGTCCCATGTAAAAGTAATTAAATGAGGATTTTGGGAACAGTAAGTGGTACAATTTGGTTGCACTATTTCGTTCAAGTCCAATCGAGATGCCGCTGTATCAAAATTGAAAAGCTATGATAACAAAACACAATTATGGCATTTGTTTCACAACTAACTAACTGGAAATTTGCTTATTTACAATCATACATGTAATGTTGACTTTACTGACTTTTAAAATGTCACTTTTTTGACTTTTACTTTTGACCCGTGGGCCGAAAGTAAATGAAATTTTTAAAATTTATTGTGTTTTTTGACTTTTACTTTCGGCCCACTGGTCGAAAGTTTACTTTCCTCCCGTGGGCCGAAAGTAAATGAAATTATTAAATATTGTATTTTTTTGGTTTTAATTCAGATAAAAATTTCAAAATTCGAATGATTGTAAATAAAATAGTATACATACCTCGGTGAAAAGTTTCATTACTATCTCTCGACAGTAATGAAACACTTTCCACCTCGGTATGTAATATACTATTTTTTTCTTTCAATAAATTTACATTGTTCGTCATCCAAAGATAGGCCTGTTATACATGGTTGAAAAGCTCCATTCAGTGACGTAAAAAACAATACGGCGGCCATAAGAAATAACAAAGATGCAAAACTAGAAGGCCTGGAAAAAACTTATTAACGTCTTTCGATTGCCCTCGTAGTCACTAATGCAAAACTACCGAATTTTAATTAATTTATTCACAAAATGGCGACAATATTTCAATTTTTTGAAAAACACAATTTCGATACAGCATCTGATTGGGCTTGGAATAGCGCAACTTTTTTTCCATTTAACCAAAATTGTATCTCTTACCGTTTCCGAAATCCTCATGTAGGTACTTTTATGTGGGACACCCTGTATAATATGGAATTTACAGGTATGTTTACAATAAAATAAATAATAACACACATGGAATAAAAAACAAAGCCAAATCTATTTACATTATAGTTATGACAAGAACTATGCCACAGAGTAAAAATTTATTATTTCTCTCCAAGATCCACAGAATCAAATAGTCTTTAATTACAGACAATTTTGGTCCACTTAGATTTTGCACCTATTTTTTCTTGCCCTTCGCGGGTGGCGGTTTTCCACGTTTTTTCTTGTCTGGTTTTGTTTCTTTCTTTCGCCTCTGATACAATTTATGATAAAAGTTTCGAAAATCTATTAAAAAAGAGAACATTTTACCAGGAAAATGAATATTTCAAAATTTGACTCTTTCATGGAATAAGATGAAATTTACAATGGCAATGCCAATAAACTAAGTAGGTAACAGTAAAGATACTTAGCTTAATATTTTTATTATTATGGAACCTCATAAAGTGACGCCAATAATAGTTTTATTATGGGCAGGCCATTAAGTGTAAGATTAGCATAGTGTAAAATTCTATCTATACTACAAAAATATAAATCATTTTGTAAACAAAAGGATAAAAGATATATGAAACCAATAGAAAAATATTCAAAGACAAAATCGAAAATCATACCTTCATAATTGACTTGACCATCGCCGTCGATGTCAGCTTCTCGTATCATTTCATCAACTTCTTCGTCGGTCAATTTTTCGCCGAGGTTGGTCATCACGTGACGCAATTCCGCTGCCGAAATGAAACCGTTTCCGTCCTTGTCAAACACGCGGAAAGCTTCGCGAATCTCCTCCTCGCTGTCAGTGTCTTTCATTTTGCGAGCCATCATTGTGAGAAATTCGGGGAAATCGATTGTACCGTTACCTATTGAATAAAATGAAGTACGTGTTAGACACAGAGTATTTTAAAATTCACTTATTTTATAAAATTGTTCGTTGAAATAATGAATTTTTCAGTCAAGTATTATACATCTGGAGACGGTTTACCTATACATATACAGAATGTTTCCGAAAGGGTGTTAAAAACTTCAAGGGCAGATAGTATTCATGAAAATAATTAAAAAAGTTCCTATGGATATAGGTCCGGAAACGCTTTGTTTCCAAGATACAGGGTGTTAAGTTTTTCAAAAAAAAAAATTAGTTTTTTATTAATAGCCCAAAAGAGTTTTAGCCGATTTCAATGAAATTTTCACGGTTTATTTCAACCATTATCAGACATCTACTGGACCAATTAGATTTGATCCAGAATTTCCAGGAGCGTACCCAGCTACCAAGTCGGTTATTTTTGTGCAAAAAAAAAACATCACTCTGTAGTTTTTGTACGATTTTTATTGATTATTCAGATAGACACACTAAAAATACATTTTTGACTCTTGAATTTTTCAATTATCTCGCTTCGTTTTCGCGAGAAAATTACAATACCATACCTCGGCACGTCTCTGAACTCCATAAGGAAAGATAAAAATTGATAGGAATTAAAATACATAACCCATTCATTGAATGACAAGGACATAAATTCCATTTGAGATTTTTTTTGTTTTGTTTCCATAAATGAACAAACTGTGATAAATTTTTAATCAATTCCTAAGCATTTTTATTTTTTCTTACGGAGTTCAGTGACATGCCGAGGTATGGTATTGTAGTTTTTCCGCGAAAAGGAAGCGAGATACTTGAAAAAGCCAAAAGACAATAATGTCGTATTTTTATTTTAGTGGGTTTATCTGAATAATTGATAAAAATCATACAAAAACTACAGGGTGATATTTTTTTCAGCAAAAAAGCAACCGACTTGGTCGCTGGGTATGCGTCTGGAAATTCTGGAACAAATTTAATTGTTTCAATGGATGTTTGATAATGATTTAAATAAACCATGAAAATTTCATTGAAATCGGCCAAAGCTCTTTTGGGCTAATAATAAAAAAACTAATTCTTTTTGAAAAACTTAACACTCTGTATCTTGGAAACAAAGCGTTTCTGGACCTAAATCCATAGGAACTTTTCTTCTTATTTTCATAAATAGTATCTGCGCTTCAAGTTTGTAACACCGTTTCGGAAACATCCTGTATTTAGATAGATAGATAGATATAAAAAAACTAAAGACAATCATACATAACATTTAATTAGGTGAAACTTTAAAAAGTGACCAAGCAACATAAGGGCAAATTTCTATACATCTATAGACTTCAATAATTGTTTATACTAACAAGTTTAAATAAAGAAAAATACCTATGTAGATAAATAGGATTCTTGTCAACAACCATCATCTAAATTTTTCTAACTGATGCATCTGGTAAACAACCATTTATCAAAACTATAAATAAGTTTTCGATTTAATGCACCACTAAACGAATTATGTATTATTGAAATTGACAATGTATATTATGAAGTGATATTTTTTGTTCAATTGGCAATATAAATTGGATTTTTGTATAATAATAGTAAATTGACCTGGGATCTATATTAGCTTCATTAGACCCAGACATCGAATGCTTCCTGTTTCGAGGCAGATTTCCATTTATTGGTTTTTAATGAAATATATTCATCTTTACAAAATTGGCTGTGCTGAATATGAATACTTCCAGTATCACACAACACGACGTAACAAATCCAAAATGTCTGCATGATTTTCACAAGATAAATATTGTATGGTGATTCATAGGCATGCATATATGTACACACAACTACTGTGCGACCTTTATTTTCAAGTGGGTAGGTGCAAGTAGTGTGTGTGTGTTTTGGTGTGAGAAAATTGGCGCGCTTACTGGACAACAGCCAGACATTACTGCGATACCTTTTTTTTATGAATAAAAAATAATAATTTGGAAGCGCTTCCGAAAAATATTCAATAAAATAATGACAGATTTCAGTTGTACAAAATGAGTTGGGGTTTAAATTTTGGGTGCCCTAATCTTCTACTAGCCACCCTCCAAATTACAAATAATAACTCATACTTTTATTTACGACTAATGTATAATGTGCGTATTATATTTGTGATTTTGGCAGTATAATGACATATGTTATTCCTCCAGGGATTAATGACGAGTAGCGGGATTAATGGTCATTATTCCACGAAAGTGTCAGTGTCAAACGTGTAGTGCTTGTGGATTTGTATTGAAAATTATGAGACGGATGAAATTTGTTTATTGAAAATCTCAAATAAATTTATTTGTCGTAAATAAAGTAGAGTATACTACTCGCAATAATGGCTATTATTCCCTCGGAATGTTACTCCCTCGCCGCTAACGCGGCTCAGTTCGTAATAATCCTCGGGAATAATAGCTATCATTATTGACTCGTGGTATAATCTACAATTTTTAACCAAGTAACTGACTTTTTACCACCATTTTTTTTTTTTTGAATTAACTAGAATTGATCCTCTTTAAAATTTAAGCAGCAGATCCAGAAGCAAAGGAACACTCAAAATGAGAGATAAGTGAGATAAAATCAATGTACCATCAATTAAAGTGATATGTCACTTGATAAAAAGCTTAGATGGCAATTTAAATTTTAAACCTACTACTCTAGAAAATATAGATTTTTGCTCTAAATTATTCATAACATGACATAAATATACGCTGGATAGATAGTTTCGATACATATTTTGTTTATTTTTTCAATATTATTGCACACTCAACTGGCAAGTCAAGAGAGATTTCATCAGCGCAAATCTTGTATTATGACGACATAAAACAATAATTGTTATTAATGCAGATACTTTCTGTGGTGCGATATAATATTATGTTCAAGGAATAATAAAATTATTGTATTGTTGCCAGATTCCGGAAAAAGCTCGAATCATTGACGTCACATCCAAGACGTCCCCGGCCTGTACATTGATCGGTTCAGAAAGCATAAGAAAATATTTACGTGTCTCAATATTAAGTGCTTAGAATTCCTAAAGAAGTCAGTTAGGAGTATTTTTTTTCAACAAAATTATGGCAATTGGAAACGAAGTACAAAAATAAATAATAAGAGTCTAGAGTTCATTCCTAAAATAATAATTATGTACTAGGGTCGAAGACACAAGAGCTTAAATAATTAAATAGCCCAGCAAAACTAGGTCATGACCTTCCAAGCTTCAATGAGGCACTGCTGACTGAAGCTCCAATATCAAAAAAAATCAATAGGCATGTAGGTATGTATTATCTATATTATGTGTAGACTATATTTACCTAAATTATCTTATCGGACAAGAGCAATTTCAATGTTAATAGCAGATAAAAATGTTCAAAAAAAGAAACTTGAGATCAGCAAAAAGGAAAATACATAAAAATTAAGCAAAACCCAAAAAACTCTAGTTTACCTACCATTCTACAGAGGTAATTTCTACTACAGTTTACTACTGTAATTATTATTAATGCCTTAGTCTAGCTTCGACACGAAATCGATATTTTTAGAATTGTTACCTATTTACATCTGAGAAACACAATGTTTGGATATTTTTGTTAGGATGACTCCACTTTCTCCGCGCCATATGGGTACCACTCCTAAATAAATTTTCCATTTTTCTGTCAACAATTTGTCGATCTAAGTTTCTATAGAATTCATCATTTATTTATTCACAGGCAAAAACCCAAATAACGATTTGAAACTATTTGGTATTATGCCACCCATAGGCAAGACTGTCTTGTATTTCTAATCTATCAATTGGAAATGCCATTAGTCAGTTAGGTAAAATTCAAATTAAGAGGCCTAGGTATTTCTGTTAAAACTATTATTTCGATTTACAACTACTAAAGTATTCTAGGAAAATTAATGAAATTTGGTGGGATGGTGGATGATGAATTATAGAGAACAGTGAATCAGTCAAAAACTATATCATCAATCTTAAAAAAAAACTCCCTAAATCTCTAAACTATTAAAGTTGAATATTTCACAACTGTACCAACTAGACTGCCCATCCCATAACAAAAAAACACCTTCTCATCAGAGAATTACAGTCATAAAAACATAAAGGAAATATGCCCCAGCAGAAAGGGTCTATACCCGACCCTCAGGCAGTTAAATTATTTTTATCCCTAGCCTAGCCTAGGATTCAAAAATATCCGTATTTACCGCAGTAGAGTTTATTATAAAAGATAGTAGAGATTATTCTAATAATAGTCCTTTTCTCACAAATACTATTTTTTTTTACCGATATAATTTTTTTACTAAATGCGTTAATTCTTGTTAAAATGAAACTATTCCCGATACCGCAACTACATAATATGCTATGACATGACAACACTGCGGAGTGTGTCGTCAACCCAGGGCTACCACGCCACCACGCCTTCCTCGAAAAATAAATTTAAAATTTTATTTATTATTCTACATACGGTGTTGCCAAACTGTGAACTATAATATAAACGCAATCCTCTTGAAAAAGCAAATTAGAGGTATCGGCAATCGGCTGTGCTTATCTATTCAAGAGTCGAATCTAGCTATGATTTTATTTAATTTTTTTTTCAAATTTATCACAAACTATCAGTAGAAGTAGAATATGTATTTATATTTTCAGAATATTATTCCGTGTGGGGATTTGTCAGTTACCTCCATAGGGTGCGTCTCTACGGGAATTAGGGGAAGCTCGCTGGGTATGTAATCCAACAGATTCAGAGGGAACTGGGAAACTAAAATATCGTGAAACAAAGGATAGGGGTTAAGGCATTAGACTGGTTCTCTAGTACTCGGAAAAATACAAAACTACCAAAAAACTAAAGATGAACACAGCAAAGAAAATGGACAATGAATCTCGCTACATGGAATGTGCAGGGTATTAGACTGAAAACGGATATTATTGCATCAGAAATTCAGAAATTGAACATCGATTTAGTAGCACTAACCAAAACCAAGAAAAAAGGAAGTGACACCAAAAATGTTGGAGAATATATTTACCTTTTTACTGGAGTGTCAAAGGAAATCAGATCAGCTAAAGGGGTATCCATACTGATAAGGGAAAACAAAATTAACAACTGGGAAGCTGGTAGATGAAAATATCTTAACAGTCAACTTGAAACTACAAGGTTATAACATCACCATTATAGCAGCCCATGCTCCATCAGAAGACGAAAGAATCGGCATTCGGCATTAAGCAAGAGTTCCTTGACAAATTGGATGAATTCCTAGTAGATATTGGAAAAAATAGAGAAATCATAATGATAGGGGATTTCAATGGAAGAATGGGAAAGACGAACAATAGCCCAGTTGTAGGAGAAGAAATAATCAGCCAAAGGCTCATACACACAGAATACCCATAACCTGAAAACTATCATTCACTATGTGATAAGCAAATAAGAAACAAACATAGAGATAAACAACGTAAGAGATCTAAGAGGAATAACTTGCTGGTCAGATCATTTTATAGTAAGAGCCAAAATAAAGTTACAATTTAGAAAAACGAACAAGAACCCAGAGGAACAAATCACCAATGCCATACTAATGGAAATGGATAAAACAAAGTACAATTTTGACAGTTTTAGAGTGGCTTTAGAGATGACAGCACTGCATTTCTATATCAGAGACGACTCGACAGCAAACTATTGAACCCTGGAGAATGTATCTTCAATAAACTCTATGAAAACATTATAAAGAGTCTCATAGAAGCCTCCCAAGAAGCAATAGGAATAAAGAAAAACAATACCAACAAAAAATACTGGTAGAGATACAGCTATTAGTCCAAGAGGAGAAACAAAAATATCTCAAATGGTTAACAACGAAAAATTAACAAGACCTTGAAGCTTCTGAAGACACAAGAAAACAACTAAGAATGTGCATTACTATAGAAAAACGAGCAAAAGGATAAGAAATCTGAAGAAATTAACACCGACATAGAAGGAAGGAAATGTTCAGAGGTATTGAATGTCAAAAAGCCAGGAAAGAACAGAGCTATAATATTCAGGTAATCATACCAAAGCAATGGATAGGACACTACAAGGGACTATTACAAGAAACTAGACCGGAATATATATTAGATTCTCCAAGACATATTGAAGTACATGGAGAAGTAGTTGAGATATCTGAAGAAACAGTAAAAAAGACTGTTAAGAATCTTAAGTCAGGTAAAGCTAGCGGCCCAGAAGGGATATACTCCAAAATGCTGAAATGGGGAATTGAGCATATCAGTCACAAGCACACTATTGCTTCGGGATCCCATTGAAGATTATTAAAAGTAGTGCGGCTTTAGAGCAAGAAGATCAAGTACGGACAACATATTTTGCTTAATACAAGTCATAGAGAAGAGATCTGCTAGACATTTGGAAACCCACCTCACATTTGTGGACCTACAAAAAGCATATGATGCAGTTCCAGTATCCAGACTATGGAAGGTATTAGAACAATTCAACATCAATCACACCTATATAAGGGCACTTAAAAAACTATTATATATAAAGACTCAAAATCAATCAATTAAGATAGGTGAAAACCCCACAGACACATTTATAGTGAACAAAGGACTATGTCAAGGATGTTGTATCTCTCCTACGCTTTTTGAAATATAGGTAGCAGTAGCACTGAAAAATCGGAAGAAGAAGATCAATGGAATGGGTATAGGGATAAATGATATGTGCCTGTTCACTCTTCAGTTTACAGATGATCAGATCATAGTGGCCAGTGACATGTAATATATGATTAAAAAGCTGATAGAAGAGTACCAAGAATAGGGCCTCCTGAGAGTTTAAATGAATGAAACAAAATATCTATGTGTAGGCACCCAGAATGGAAACTTGGAAGGGGATGATGGTTAGGAAATTCTGCAATGTCAAGAATATGAGTATCTAGGTATCACATTCGACAACACGCCAAATACCAGGTGGCCTAGAAAAATGCTGCATTGGCAACCAATAGATAGAAGCAAGGGTAGAAGAAAACAAGGAAGACCAAAACTGGAATGGCAGACCATACAAAAGTCCATGAGTGAAAGAAATCTCTCATCAGAGGATTGTGATGAAAGAAGAGGATGGAAATTAGATGTCGGACAACGAAGAAAAATGTTCTAAAACGACATATATACAGGGAGTTCCTAAATATCATGTACAAACGAAAGGGGGTGATTCTTTGGTTAATTTTATGACTAAATTTTCTAATAAACAGGTTTTTCCCAAATAATAACTTTGGAACGCATCCTCGTATGTTCCACTGTATAATTTTTTGTCATTTTCTTTAACAAAGCCTTAACAAATATGGCATTGCCGATTTTGTAATTTAATTTTCTAACGAAAAATGCCTTAATATACCATGAGTTACATTTAAGATTCGAAAGTTGACATCACTTGATTGAAATTGAATCGCAAGTGGTGAAATTGGATGATATTGGTGAAAGCGGCACAAAAAGTTACCCAGATCCACAAAATTTCAATTATATTGGATAACGCGTTTCGAAGTTATTACCTGGAAAAAACGTCGTGGGACACCCTGTATATTATATAGAGTGCTCCAAAAAAATTTATATTTGATATTACAAAAATTTCAATATTTCACTTAGTTTTCAACCGGTTTTTCCTGTTGAGTTCTTAAAATGTTCGCAAAATGATGAACTTTAGGAATTTATTAGAAAAAATTATACAGAAGGTCACAAAACACTTCCAATGTTTCCCAAAACTACGTAATTTATGGAGAAGTCCGCCATTTTGAATTTTTCACAAATGTCAAAAGTTTCACTTTGATTCGTTAGCTTGATCATTTCTCTTACAAACAAGGCAAAACAGAAGGAAATTGGTCAACAACAAAAAAAGTTACAGCTCAAAAACAAAATTCAGTTTTTTTTTTGGACCACCCTATATATTTTCCAATTATTATGTTTACATTGATTTGTAATAATTATTATTGAATGTATTTAAAAAAATAATTTTCAATTCAAAATTTTGATAATTACTGCTTATCATTATAGCTTTAGATGCTTTGCTTTTACGCTTCTAAAAATTGTGATAACACTGATAAGTAAGGTTAGCAGAATTTAAAAAAAATATATATATCTCCCCATTGCAGAACGTAAACTATTTTTGAAATATGTAATTGATTTTTGTATATTTATTTCAAAAGATCAATAGCAGAAACCTGTCTCCTCAAGTGGATTTTTTCTACCTAATTGGATTTATATAGTAGCTAAACCAGAAGCTAAACTAAGTTAATAATAGATTTTAAATCCATTTTAATTATTGATTTGGTTGATATAAATTCAAATTCACCTTCTAAAGCATTGTAAATTGAATTAGACCAAACTCAAGTAAATCATAGTCATAAAATGAGAGTGGATTTTGAGGTTTATATCATAGTTATGATGTTCTAAATTCTAAAAATAGATATAGGTAATTCATTTTTATATACCAAAATACCATATATTCTGTGAAAATAGATTTAATGTTTGTAAACTTTGGTTTGTATCACAGTTATAGGTAATGTTCTAAGTTCTAAAAATAGATATATTAGGTAATTCATTTATTATATTATACCAAAATACCATGTAGGTATTCTATTTCTAAAAACCATTTGACCTAATTTTGCCAAGGCAGGAAATTGAGGTAAATTAGCATCTTATGCAAATTTTCTTTAATCAAATTGGCAACAATGATTTGATTATAACCCGACTTTAGGTACTAATTAAAAAGCAAGCCATTTACATACCGTCCGCATCAACTTCATTGATCATATCCTGTAATTCAGCCTCGGTGGGATTTTGTCCTAGAGATCTCATCACGGTACCTAATTCTTTGGTGGTTATTGTGCCATCACCATCTTTGTCAAAGAGCGAAAACGCTTCTTTGAATTCGGCGATTTGTTCTTCGGTGAGTTGGTCAGCCTGAAAAATTACAAAAACTACATTCAAAAATAATTCTATAAGTTAGGACCTATAGAGCTTCATTCAATTTGATAAGAAAATTGAATTTTTATTTTCTTCCTTATGACGAGTAACATAACAATATTCGCAATACTCCTAGAATCAACTGAATTTCTGAAAATATTTCTAAAATTCTAAGGTTGTATCTGAATAGGGGTAATTGTAAATGTCAGTTTTAGGTTATGTTATGGCAGATGTATCGAATTTTGAAATTATTCTGAAAAGGTGTAATTATTGCAAAAAAAAAGTGATTGAGAGTGTTGATTGTGTTAAATGCAGAGCTAATTACCACAAAAGCTGCAGTGCAAGGGTAGAAATCAGCAATTTCGACGGAATTTTCGTTTGTTGTTCTGAAAGCAAGCTAACAAGTGAGGTTAGGACACAAAAACCAAGAAAAAATTCTGGAAAAGAGGATTTTTCAGAAACTGAAATGGACGAAAATAAATTAAAAAAAGTCATACAAGATTCTTTTAAACAATACCTAAGCCCAGTTGAAAAAAAAATGGATAATAAATTCAAAGTTTTGGAAGAGTCGATCCAGTATATGTCTGATGCTTTCGAAGATCGAAAAACAAAGTTTGAAGGCATTCTACAGGAATTAAAGTCTATTAAAAAGGAGAATGCCTCATTGAAGGATAGAGTCTTACATTTGGAAACAAAGTTAGACGAGTGGGAGGTGAAAGAAAGAGCATCAAACATAATAATTGATGGCATACCAAAACAAGGTGACCCAGACACTCAAAAAATTTTAAGTAAAATAATACAGGCTTTGAACATGAAAATGGAGAACAATGAGGTGTTAGAAAGTTCTAGACTTGGAAACAAAGAGAATAGCCCAATATTGGTTAAACTCAATAATGTAAATACAAAGAAGGAAATAATCAAGAGGATTCGAGGCTTAAAAGGAACAACAGTCCATAAATGTGGGCTGGAGGGAAATGATAGGAAGATTTATATAAACGAGGACCTTCCAGTAGGTAAAAGAGCTCTGTTCAAGAAAGTAAGAGACAAAAAGAGAGAAAATAATTATGCTGCTGCATTCTGTAACAATGGGGTAACCTGAAGAAAAAAGAAAATGAGGCACCAATCAAAATAAAGTCCGAAAATGACTTACTCTAAATAAGTACCTGATAAAGAATTATGATAAGTTATATTATTAACAATGGAGCTAAATAACATCTTAGACGACTATAAAGTAAACAATGTGATACTGTGTGATGATTTATCAGAAGTTAGTCATTTTGATAGTGATCAAAACATTAAGATAATGCACGTAAACATACGGAGTATTTATAAAAATTTTGATGAGTTTCTAGTGTTCCTGCAATCTATCCAAAGAAATTTTGATGTCATAGTTATGTCAGAAACGCACTTTATTTATAATTATACAGACTTTACATTAAATGGATACAATTTAATATTTAATGAGAGTAATCTGAACAAATGCGATGGATGTGCTCTATATGTTAAACAAGAAATATTTGTAAGCCAACAACTGTTACAAGAACAAAATCTTAAGTTACTGAAAGTTACTCTCCAGAAAAACAATACCCTGTTGGATGTCTTAGCTACATATAAAGGTTTTGCCATGTCTAAAGAAACCTTTACGCAGAACTTAGACAACATACTACAGAGAGCAATAACAGATCATAATCGAGTATGCATACTAACAGGGGATACAAATATAGATTTGCTTAAAGTAGAAGAAAATGCAACAAGTAACTATGTAACTATGATGCAGAGTCATGGATTCATCAGCATGATAGACAAACCAACTAGGAAGATAGGAGATTCCAGCTCGTGCCTTGATCATTATTTTGTGAAATGTAAAAGTGAGTTGTTTAATAAAATTAATACAGTAATTTTAGAGCATAAGTTGACCGATCATGATCCAATTCTGCTCAGTTTACAAACAAATACCAAAACAGAGGCAATAAAAACAAGTAACACATATCAAATGATAGACTATGTTAAATTAACACCTTTGTTGGACAGGGCAGAATGGGATGATGTTTATAATTTTTGGGACTCCAATGTATGCACAAATGCTTTCATTTTAAGATTGAAAAAAATTATTTCAGACTCTATGAAAATAAAAGTTATAACCTGTAAAAGCAAAAGATTAAAACCATGGATTACCAAAGGTATTTTAGTATCTATTAGGACTAGGGATAAAATGAAAAAAGAATGCACAATAAATAATAATAATTTAATTTATTTGAATAGGTATAGAAGGTTGTTGTCAAAACTTATTAAGAATGCCAAATATACTTACTACAAATTGCTTGCAAATAAAAATGCTAGTGATCCTAAAAAGTTATGGAATATAGTTAAGGAAGCTACTAATGATCAGATGGTTGCTTCTCAAATAAAAAATATAATTGATGGGGAGGGGCAAGAATTGACAGATAATAAAAAAATTGCAGATGAGTTTAATAAATATTTTTCAAATGTGGGAAAAAAACTGGCTGACAAAATTATGGAAAATAAAGGAAACTTCCAATTCTTAGAAAATGAACCAAGGTCAACAAGCTCTTTTCTATTAGGTCCTGTATCCAATGTTGAATTGTCCAAACACATACAAAGTCTTAAAAATAATGTAGAAGGAGGGGAAGACTGTATTTCTTCATCCATTATCAAAAAGTATAAAAGTAGCATTTTGAGGCCATTACTACATATAATAAATGTGGTTTTCAGTACTGGGGTGTTTCCTGATATTCTGAAGAGCGCAACAATAATACCGCTATTTAAACAAGGAGACAAAAAATTAATTAACAATTATAGGCCTATTGCATTAACGAGCTCAGTGAGTAAAATTATTGAAAAATGCCTAAAGGCCAAAATGATAACATTTTTGGAAAAAAAAAAATTGCTCCATAAAAATCAGTTTGGTTTCAGGGAAGGCTCCAGTACTGAGAATGCACTTTGTAAGGTCACTGAATCAGTACTCCAAAAACTGGATCAAGGCAAAAAAGTGATTGGCATCTTTTTAGATCTGCAGAAGGCATTTGACACTGTGGCGCACCCGATTCTACTGCAACACTTGGATCTCATTGGTATAAGGGGTACACCTAATAATCTTATTAAATCATATTTAGAACGCAGGCAATGCACCAAAATAGCAGGAGAGGTGAGTGAGCAGTTGCAAGTGGAGTTTGGTGTGCCGCAGGGTACAGTGCTTTCAACGCTCTTATTCAATATATATATATAAATGGAATATTATCAGTATTAGATGATGATTAGGGAGTAGTATATTGTTTTGCGGATGACTCTGGAATAATTATTTGGGGAAACAGCTGGGAGGGAGTAAAGAATAAAGCTGAATTCGCACTGCAGAGGGTTAAGAGATGGATGGATTATAGTCTGCTTTCATTAAATGTAGTGAAAACCAAATTTGTTGCCTTTTCGTTTTCCTCTTGCAATTTACCAAACTATCAAAATTTGATATTACATGAAAACAACTGTATATTGGACCAAACATGCTCATGCATAAAACTGATAGAAAGAAAAGGTTACTTGAAGTACCTAGGAATATACTTAGATGAAAATCTTACATGGAAAGAGCATATTACATATGTTACTAACAAAGTGCGAAAATTGATATTTAAGTTTTATGAATTGAGACACATCCTTACTCTGGATACTCTGAGGACAGTATACTATGCCCTGGTCGAGTCAGTATTGAACTATGGTTTGGTTGTTTGGGGTGGTGCAGGGGTGACAATCTTAAACAAGCTTCGAGTAGCACAAAAATACATTATAAAAATCATGTTATTTAAAAATAGAAGATATCCAACAGAACTAGTATTTAGTGAAAGTGGCTTGTTTGATATACGACAGCTTCACTTAAAATCAATAGTGAGGTTTATGTTGAGGGTGCCTTATTACAAAGAAGCTATTAATCATGGAATAAACACGAGAAATGCTGCCCAAAAAGGTGTCATCAGACAAACCCCCAAGCATACCTTATGCCAATTCCATATCTATTGTTTGGGACCTAAAATATTCAATTGTCTACCAATTAGCATAAGAACTCAACCCTATAACAAGTGTAAAAAAGAAATAAAACTATGGATACTTCAAAGTGACTTTCACATTGAATATCTAGAGGAAATATATAAATGGTCAACAAAACATGGCTTGGTGCTGAATGCAACAAAAAGTCACTATATGATTATAGGTTCAAATAATAATAGGCAACAATTTCTCCAATATAACTTCACAACCTTACATATTAATGGATCTATTTTGCCCTCTGCAGAGTCAGCCAGGAATCTGGGAGTTACCTTTGATGAGAGGCTCGACTTTCAGCTACACGTAAACAAAAAGCTGTCATTTGTATATGCCAAGCTGCGAAGTCTATATCCTTTTAAATTCATCCTACCTAGTGAGATTAAACTGATGCTGGTTGAAGCACTAATTTTTCCTCAGTTGGACTACTGTAGCGTAGTTTTTTACCATTTTCTTAGCTCTGAATATAAAAACAAAATACAACTTGCACAAAATTCTTGTATAAGATTTGTTTTCTGTGTAAGAAAGTTTGATCATGTGACTCCCACATATTTAGCAAACAGCATACTAAAATATGAGCAACGTGCTGTCCTGCATTTTGGGCAATTTGTTTGTAAAATTTTTAAATTGGGCTGCCCGAGTTACTTGGCGAAGTATTTTATCGGGAGGCAAGACTTACACAATCTTAATCTAAGAAATATGGTTCGCTTTCACATACCTCAGCATAAAACAGCAAAATTTAGAAACTCTTTCTCTTTTCAAGCAATACAACTTTTAAATTCAGATGTTTTCAACTTAATAACTTCAAGCACAATTGTTAATTTCAAAAAGAAATATAAGTCTTGCCTTCTACAGCAGGCACAACAAATAAACACATAAACTGTGAAAATTATTGTTTTCTAAAGCAAGGTAGCATGGAAGAACACTATGTGAATGTTTACCTTTTATGTAATGTAAACTTTTTGTTATGTTGCATAATAAACGTTTTATTTATTTATTTATTTATTTATTTATATCAAATTTAGATTAATAACAAGAACAAATTCAACTCGTTAAAAAATTGTATTCTTGCTTTATGTAATACCATCAATAGTGTATTTTGTGTTTTTGTATTAGGGTATTTTTTCATATGATTTGTGATTTATATAATTTTTTAATTTTTTATTTGTATAACCTCGGGTGATATTCTTTAAAGTATAAGGGTGCACACACGGTACTATAAGTACTATCGTGCACTAAAGTAGCTTAAGTAGGTCTAAATTATGGGTAAGGGAAAATTATATTGTAATTTACAACAGAGTTTATTAGTTTAGGACCAAACATTGCTTCTGTAATTTGTATCTTTGCTACTACCAATAAATAAATAAATAAATAAATAAAATAAAGAAAGACAGGGCTACATCAGGGGTACCTCAGGGTAGTATTCTTGGGCCGTTGCTTTTTACTTTTTTTATTAATACCCTGCCCGATTCCTTGAAGCAATCAGTGGGCCTACTGTTTGCAGATGACTTCAAGTTATTCAGATTGGTCTCTGAAATTGAAGACTGTTATCGGTTACAGGGTGATATGGACTGTGTGAGTGAATGGTTTAGAAAGAACAAGATGAAGTTCAATATTAAAAAGTGTTCTGTAATGTCTGTTGCCAGAAAATCCAACTATATTGAGTTTAATTATAGTGTAAATGGTAGGGTTTTGGATCGAATAAGTGACGTGAAGGACTTGGGTGTCTTTTTTCAGTCTAATTTTAAATTTAATAATCATTATATATATACAGCAAATAAGGCATACAAGTGCCTTGGCTTCATCTTAAGAAATGGTAAAGATCTGAGTATGGAAACACTAATTCGACTATACAATGCTCTGGTGAGACCACACTTGGAGTATGCTGCTCAAATCTGGATGCCACTGGCTCAGTTTCATATAAATCCCATTGAAAAAGTTCAAAAGCGTTTCTTGAGATTCCTGTATGTTAGGCAGAATGGAGTGTACCCGTTTTTGGTCTCATATAGGGTAATGCTCAACAGTTTCCATATAAAATCCCTTGTACAAAGAAGAAATGAACAAGCTGTGATATTTATATACTATATATTCAATAATATAAAGTACAAACATTGTAATTTGATTAATTTTATGGATATTAGTGTACCTAAAGTTAACTTAAGGATTCTTAGCTTAGATATTTTTAAAACTAGTCAGTATAAACTATCTCCTCTAAATAAAATGATGGAACAGTGCAATATCGTAAACAGAGAAAACCCATTTGATATATTCAACACTAGCCTCTCTCAGTTAATTGGTTTAATATCTTAATCTGTGATTGTGTAATGTTTCCTTGTTAGAATTAGAAGAATTTTATCTATTTATTGTGTGTGTTTTTTGTATTAGTTTTGGGTTTAGGGTCATTTCACTGGTTCTCGGCCTGCTAAGTAAGAAATCGACTTTGGAGGTGTAGTTAATATGGAAAAAAGTGTCGGATTAACAATGTGAGGATATTAAGTAAATCTTTGGAATGTTTTTTATCAAAAATTAGTCATCTAAACCATGCTTTAGATACAAAAAGCGAAAAAAAAAGAAAAATTAAAAAAACGTATTTTTTTTGGTTCTCGGTCACTCGCCGCAGATCTCGACCAATTTTACATCAGTTCTCGGCCATACAAATTCCAGGTACCTATTCGAAAAATACATGTCATCCAGCCTTTCTCGGATTTGCCTAGAACCCATCCACACAACTGCATGAGCTTTATTGATGCCTTCTGCTTCTCTCAAAGAGATTTCTGGGTTTCTTCTCATGAAGTTAGAGTTCCAAGTTTGCTTCGGCATTCCTCCTTTAAATAAGTTCAGGCCAGGGAAATCCACATTTGGAAAGCTTAATCACCCATTCTTTAATAATTTTTTTGCCTTCTTCAATTAATAGAGGCTGTGGTCCTCGTTTCCTCAGCTCATCAGGAACTCGACCAGTGAGCCGGTCTTGAAGTGTCGTTCTCGGGACTTTATACCTTCTACTGGCTTCACGAACTGAGATATTGTTGATTCGGACTTCATGTAAATCTTTTTTCAAATCCATTTCAGAATATTGAAACATGGTTCGTTTAGCTACTGCTTTTGCCTTGGGTCTGACAGTTGTTTTTTTCTTGGAACTTGCACTTTTTTTTGTGGGAGCCACTAAAAAAGACAGAAACAAAAACTTTTCTTTTAGCAAAATTGTTTAGGTCTCTGAGTTATCTTAAATGATGGGTACTTTAACTTTAGTAAGGTAGGTGGTATAGGTACCTACTCCATTGAACATGCAATCAGGAATTTTATAATGGCCGACAATTGAAACACACAAAATATATGGATCCATGGGTTCTCGGCCACTGAACTCTAGTAGTGGCTGAGATAAGGTAGTTCTCGGCCCCTGAATATTTATGAAAATTGAAGTTCGAAACAAACATTATTTTATGTAATATTTGACGGCCGCAAACTAATATATAAAAAGGAGATATCCAAATGCACCTGTTAAAAATTTTATTATGTATTAACTATTTACATAATCTGAATGAATTCAAAATAGAAACATTAAACAAGTATATGATTCTCGGCCACATGGCCGAGAACTAAAATACGTGTTTTTTTCAATACTACTTTCCGGCCGCCTGAAATTTCATGAAAAAAAATAGTTTTAATAAGACTTTCTCATAAAATTATGAAGGTAAAATATATTCCTATAAGTAAAAACACTTTCCATACATTTCTAACATAAAAATGTTGAAATATTTACTATTTTCTGCTCAAACATCACTAAGCACTTTTGAAGAATAACAAACGTCGTACTCGCGACTTGAGTAGACCTCTACTAAATGATTTTTCACGTCTAAACCAATTGCACCCCTAACAACACCCAAAGTCATATGGGTACGAGAAAGATACAGAGAGTCAGATAAGCATCGAGAATATGTATACGTGCTGTAGTTTTCTTATTTTTCAACATTAAACAGAAAAATGGCCGAGAACCGGTGATGGCCGGTTAACCAGTGAAATGACCCTATATTTTATTGTCTTTTTTTTTATATACTCTCTTTGTTCTTTTGCCCTCGATTTTACCTTTGCTTGTAATTACCTTTATGGTGTTTGTGAAGATGTAACAATAAATAAATAAATAAATAAATTACAATGTTACCTTTAACATTGCATCAAGAAACAAATAATATCTCAGCAAGTTAAGAATAAATATAAATTCACTTCAGATTATAAAAACAGTTGAAACTAAAATGATAAGAAATATTCCTTAGAAAACATTACACAGAATACAGAAGGATCAAAGCACAACATGTAAGAAACAGAAAAATGAAGGAGATGCTGGAATAACACACAGAGGTGATTCTTACTTCTTATTAGTTCTTATGCTTTCTCTATTATGAATGGAACTAGTACCTACTTAGTAAAGGTGTATTTTTCTTGTCCTACATTAGGGTAACTTTGCAATATGCAAAAAGGTGAACTACTCATGGCTTGCAAGCTTTGCAGTTTCCCTATAAGAGTAGTAACTTATATTATTTCAAAATTGGAGCCGCAAATATCAACATTCCTATTTCTATTAGGTCAAGTTTAAACGAATCGATAGGAATAAATATTGAAAAGTATGTTTATTTAACGCCTATCTTCAAGCGAAAGAGTACCTAAATCCGACTGAGTCATAGAAGCAGAATTTTTATAACCGTTTTTATTGTATAGGTAAACACCCTACTCCTACATAACATTATATGCAACAGATCAATACGAAAATGGCATTTTCAAAAAAAGCTAATATAACAGAAACAAGTCGGTAATTTGAGTTGATAGTTTTTGGTTTTGGCTAGTAGCTCCCGAGAACCGCATTGCGGTAAATTCCTGAACCGGTTATATTATTATGTATCTGGAAATTTTTGACAGCTATTTAAAGCAAACAAATTTCCAGTGTTTTGCTAAAAATATAGACAATAGGCCGTAGCTGGGACACGGCTGGGTCGTCTGAAAGCTAGGATTACTAAAAATGTTCACTCACCATTGTGATTTTTTACGATTACACTAAAACAGAATATAAATATCGACGCAAGCAAAATATCACTGGATGACAACGTTTCACCGTCAAGTGCACTAGCCAACTGTCGTTTTGTTTGGGAGGGATAGGGAGCTACGTCGCGGCGCAACGCAACGCAACACTACCGCCAAGGCGCAATGGTGCGGCTACGACATAAACCAGTAAATATTCCTACGCCAATTTTCAAAACCGGTCAGAAATTTCTGTAACTATTCATTTAAAAACTTCCAAACCCAATAGAGCAATACCAAACAAAATCGCTACAAGCCGAAACTTACCATGAAACAGTTTAAATCTACCCAAATTCGAAGAACTATTTTTCGCCGCGCAACGTGTCAAAAGTAAAAATGTCGGGAGCGGCTTGTTTACAACCGCTTCTAGGGAAAACCGAGCTTCGCGATTGGTCGGCCGCTACCTGCAATGCAGGCAACGGGACACAGCACGCGGTGCGTGACGTTTCGCGCTAGAGCGTCGCGACGCTGCTAGGCGTCGGACAACGACGTCGAATTGCGTTCTGCTGATTTTGTGGGTGCGGGTGCGGCAAACTGGCCACTGGGCATGCACAACACTGATGTCGGTGTGGTCGTGGTCAGCATTTATCATTATCGTATATGCGACCGCGCCACTAGAAATAATTCCTACTGTGTTGAATTTTCGGCCACACCTCTATCTTCTAGTAATTACAAATAAACAGTACCTATTAATAAGATCTGCTTTTCTATACATATTAATTTTTTGCGTTTTTTCCCCGAAGGTTGCATTGATAACTTTATGACGTCATCTGGGATGTCTCAACATAATGCAAATCTCCATAAGGCACCCCCAGATGCGTCATCAAGTTACCAGACAACCTATTTAACTTTAAAAACCTTTTTTTTTCCGGACCCAAAATCAAATGTTAAATTACGTGTAGGTATAAAATATTACAATTTAAGAATAAAACAAGTTTTTTAAAACATATCCGCTAGGATTTTATTTTAAACTCTGTCGTATGATCGCTGAGGCCGCAAAGCAATACATGGATTTATTCGTATCGATACAATTGACTTGTATTGGGCCTTATTATTAATAATAAATTTTTGTGTTTTCGATCAGTAATGATAACAGCTTTGCTTTGTTTTGGTTTCACTCAAAACTAGTTTTGGTTCGAAATTTGGAAGAGTAAAAATCAAACGAGAAAAAGCCATTGTCGTCAGCGCTGACAAAGAAAGCAGATTTCCTTTTCTCTGGGTCCCTCCCATTTAAAGTGAGACAAACGATAACGCGTGTGGCTTCTTCTCGTTTGATGTCTACTCTACGGTTTTGGAATTGCGCAGAATTGCTTGCGCACAATAGTACATTAAAATACAAGTTTCATAAGACGTGATTTTATCGCACGAGCCCTATATTTGAAAACGAGCCGGAGGCGAGTTTTCTAAAGGGCGAGTGCGATAAAATGTCTTATGAAACGAATATTTTATACTATTTTTTCTATTTTTCTTGGTAATTTTATTCTCATATTTCCTGATTTCATATGTTTAGGTTGGTAACACTACATGCCAAATATAGAAATCTTCTATTAGGGCGCGTTCTTTTATTCAGCAATGGATCCATCTGCTGCCAGTATTATAAGACAGACATTCCTATTTTCTATGAGCTAGACAAAGAAAGGCTGATTACTGATGGCAATGAACTATAGCCAAAAACTGGAATGCGCATACATTGCTATATCTGCCAAAAAAATGAAGCCATGAAAGACAGATGCCACAAAGGGGAATGTTGTTTTTTTCTGTTGCTCGCTGATATATGACGTTTTCGAAAGTTTTGTCATATTTACCTTCACAGGTTTCATCAATTGGAATACGTGTTGGAAGCAATTTCCGCTATTTAACATAATGAGTGCGACAAAAACAGGTATCCCCTCCGCAGCAGCGGCACTAGGCTTCACGTTCGGCAATATGTGTGCGCATTCCAGTTTTTGGTTATAGTTCATTGACTGATGGATCCACCGCTGAATAAAAGAAAGCATCCTTAAAATCGCGAATGGCAGTTCGATGGCCATCAGTCAGCCAGTGTTACCAACCTCCGATAAGTAAAAAAGGAGTGTCACAAAGAGCTTCTTTTCGAAACTACTTTTGTGTTGAAAAGACTTCGAAATGACACCAAAATAGAAAAAAAATAATAGAGGACTGTTTTCAGGGATGTGCCGTAGACTATGAAATCTAATTCACGCAGTTTGTCTACTCGTTATCTACGTATCCATGTAGACTATAGCTTTGTTCGAACACAGCAAAAAACCGTACAATGTACCGTCACGATTCTGCGCAAAACCTAAAATTCGTGCGCAGAAACCTGAATTCGTATACTGAGTGGTTTCGAAACCGTTCATGGGACGGTTTTTTGACGTGTTGGAACAGACCTAATAGAAAGTTCTTGTGTCTCAGACGCTACGCTAATACGGTACCGCTAACAATACGGTATTTTACATGGTATTTTATAGTTCTCGGACACGAAGACACAGAAATCCTCTAATCCCTTATTCTGTTTACATTTTGACAACTAACCCAACTTTTTTTTGCTTATTTTCTAACTTTTATTTATCCAATAATGATTCCTGAATTTCATTAATTATTAGTGTTTTTTTATGGAGGAATTATTAGACGTTGCTGTTTTTGCAGACGTAAATGGAGAAAATGCAACGTAAACTAATTTTGACATAGCATAGCGTTACGGTAAGGCATCCGCTAAGTCATGTTACTTAGCGGGCTCCGCTAACGCTAATACGGTAAGAACTGTCATACTTGTCAAATAACGTAACGGTATTTGAAATTTGGACAGCACGAGAACTCTCTATTAGCCGCTTTCCAGCTGACCATTTTGAGCACGCAATCGAGCTTTTGCGCGCGCAAATGCTTCAAGCGCGTGTTCGTGTTCCAGCCGTGCTGCGCTTCGAGAGCTGCTAACTTTTGCGTTTCAAACATTCAAACACAGAACACTGTGCTGCACCGTGCTTGAAGCACACAGTTGGAAAGCGGCTTATGTAAACTATGTACAGATCGTTTCACCAGGGTTCATACTTTTGATATCGAACGCGTCATAACTCGAGAAAAAAGGGTTGTCGTAGATTAATTCATATATGACACATTCAATTTTTTTGACAAATGGCATGTAATATTGACAATTGAGTTGAAGAGGGCGCTTCTGTACTTGGTTCTCTTTAAATTTTGGCGCGTAAAAATTCGATTTAATTCTAACCTCAAAACTGAAGTTTGATGTGTGGTTTCAAGACAAGCTGACGCTGACACTTTTAAAAATATTCTCAAAGGGCCACTGAACGCTTTAGAAGATATTTTTTTTTTATTGATAACCTATTTTACTTATTTAAAGTACTCCTCAGCGTGTTTAAATCCAACATTCAAAAACGCGCGTGTTTTAAAGTTACCCATGACAATATCAACAACCCAATTAAAGCCAAGTACTCATAACTGCGAAATTCGTTTTTTCTTTTTGACATTGCTCCGACAATTTGACGTTTGAATCGCGCATTTAACAACAACAACAAATTGTCGAAGCAATGTCAAAAAAGAGCGAATTTCGCTGTTATGAGTACTAGGCTTAAGAAAGGTAAAGTCTAAATGTCAACTTTTTAATTATCGATTTGTCAAGAGTAGGTACTTGTAGATAACGTCAAATCAAATATAACAAGCACGAATTTAGCATTTTACAATTTATGATTTGAACGTATACCAATAAAAAAAAATAGTGTAAAGTATTCGTGGATAACTGGTCTTTAAAACACTTGCTCTATTTCGAGCACTCCGGCTGCGCCGTCGTGCTCGAAAAATCGCGCGTGTTTTAAAGACCCTAATATCCACTTATACTTTAATATACTATTAACTTATCCATTGTCCATTGTTCATATGTAGTCATCTTTCTTTCTACTCTGACTCTGACATTTACCGCCAAAATTTAAAACACTCCAAGTTCACTCGCGCCCTCTACAAAATTTGCTGCCATTAAAATGAATGACTTCTGGTTTAAAAGCCGACGAACGTTTTTGACGTCATTGATTTGTTTCAGTCATTTTCCATTTATTAAAAAAGGAAGGCAAAAAGTATGAACCCTGGTAAAGCAAAGCTTAGACAATGTAAACTATAGTGTAGACAACGGAAAATTTGAAATTTGAGTGAAATTTTGCATTGCATTAAATTTATATTAAAGTCTGTTTTTTTTTTAAAGATAATTCCCCAGTCCAAAATTTAGTCACTAGGGGCCAAATTACAGTATATTTGCATCTACAAATTTGCAGTTCTGCAAATATGGCCGACTTGCATATGTGCTCTATTTGCAGAAATGAGCAAATTACAGAAAAAATCTGCAATTTCGTCATATTTATTGGAAAAATGTGTTTGGGCGCTACTGATTTAGCAGTTTTAAATGTCAAAGTTGTCAAAGTGATTGCAAAGACTTGCGGGACCGTTTCACCATGCGCAAGTTTGCAGGCGACCTGCAAATGCATTCTGCTTCTGTAATACGAAAAGTCAGACTTGCAGGTCCTGCATTTGTATCTTGGTGTTGCAGAGCTTCTGTAATTCCAGGCTAGGTTGGCAACACAAGCCTTTTCTACATAAAAAATTTGAAAGGTAAGACAATTTTACATTGTATTGCCAACTAATGTCATTTTGACTTTTATCTTTAAAAAAGAAAACAGACTTTATAAATTAGTCATTAATCGCAGTTGTCGTTGTTTACACCAGAGTACGTACGCGTCAACCTATCAGATCAGCTGTCACATCTGTGGGTGGCTATTTATCTATTTATTTCTTGTTATATCTCAAGATTGAACATTTTAAAATATATAGTTTTGATTCTCTTTCATTTTTGATAAATAAAAAAACAAACTGCACAAACATTATTTTTAAAATTTGACACTTAAGACAGGCGTCCCATGCCATGATACTGGAACGGTACAAATCTAGTGCGTGGCGCCCCCGAGGTGCTCTGGAGCGCGCCAGAGCGCGTCAATGTGCATACTGGAAAGCGGCTCAGAAGGTAGACAATCTTTATTTACGCGTAGTTGCCCATCTCTGACTGTTCTAATACTAGTTCTAAATCGATTCGGAACCAAACCACAACCACGGCGCAAATCACGAAATTCTAAAACAGTTCCTCCTTCAGAGCAAAAACTGAGAGAACCGTTCTAGAACAATCCCAAAATGGTTCTTGAATTTGCATCTTCCTTTTGCCTATCATAATTGTATGTATTCTAAGCCATGACTGCTGGCGCAAACTGCTAATGACACGTTGATGACGTCGGCAACGGTGCAACACCATATGAACAAAAATCGAGGCTGATGAGCAATATATAATAGTGTGTACTATCCTTGGTGTAGCCTAGCCGAGTTCAGAAATGCGTGCTTTCCAACGGTCTTTCAATGGCCATTTCCACCAACCAAACTATAACTAAGCTTTGATTAACTATTGGTTAATCACCATTGCCAACGTCATTAACTAAGTCGTCAGCTGCTTAAACAGCTTACGTCAAGGCAAGAAATAACATGTTGCATGCGTCACAATTGGTGATTTGGCGCGGGAGGGGCTTCAGATTTGTTCCACCCAAGGCCATTCCTTTCGAAAAGTGTTTGTTGCACGTTGCACCACGCATCTGGATCCTTGCAAATCGGTGGAGACTTAACACTGGTGCTTCAATGGATTTTCCAAACGATTTTGTCGATTTTTGAATAGAACTGAAAAACATGGAAGAAATTTTGTATGTGGGTGCTTTAGGTGGTCTTAATGACCAGAATCTAACCATCTTCCTCGATCTTCCAAGGAAAATTAAAATCTTCTTGGGGTGTGAAGCGGATGCACTTATTTTTATTCGATTTGGACATAGTTTTTCCATGCTGAATGAAAATTCCTGGCTGATGGAGACGCTCGTATTGGGCTGAGTTATAAAAGAAAGCATAAACAATAAACAATAAACAAATAAAAAAATGCAGATTAAAATTTTGGCAGTTTTACTGCAAATCTGAATTTGTGAATTTACACGATATACTGGGTAAATTACACGTTTTTACATGCTTTCAGTCTCACAATTACACGATTTTTACACCCGATCTTTGTACCTATTTTGTGACATTAAGATTTTGGGAAATGGGTTAAATCCAGTCAAATCTGAAGGTTAATGTTCCTATTGCTCCTGTTCATCGCTCCTCAACCAAAAATAAAGATGTGGCAACGATGGGAAAGCGGACCGAAAGTAACCAAATTACTATAATTGCTCTGGTACCTGGAAAAGTGGTTACTTCTGGACCTCAGTTTCCCGCAAGGATAATAAACACTACTACTACTACAGAGCCGCTTTCCAGTATGCACATTGGCGCGCTCTGGCGCGCTCTATAGCACCTCAGGGGCGCCACACACTAAATTTGTACCGTTCCAGTATCATGGCGTGAGACGCCTGTCTTAGTGTCAAATATGTCAAATTTTAAAAATAATTATCTTTTTGTTTATGCAGTATGTTTTTTTATTTATCAAAAATGAAAGAGAATCAAAACTATATTTTTTAAAATGTTCAATCTTGCGATATAACAAGAAATAAATAGAATCGATTAAAGGCGATTAACCAGTCGGTTATATTGACAGATGAACAATGCATTTAACGTCCTTTTATACCAATTGGTTGACAAATGACGTTTGCTCCATTGATTATCTGTCAACTATGACCGACCGGTTAATCGCCTTTAATCGATGTAGATAAATAGCCACCCACGGATGTGACAGCTGACAGGTTGACGCGTACGTACAGCTCGGGAGCTCAACGCCCCGAGTAGCTCCGGGCGTCACACTCCCATACTGGAAAGCGGCTCAGGATAGCCTATCCTCATAAGGGCGGGTATTATAAAACTACTTTGAGAGTTAACATAAAGTTAACTTCTGGAATTACATGTAATTCAAAAAGTTAACTTTCAAAGCAGTTTTATAAAACCCGCCCTAAGTCCTATGTGGTTCAAATCTCAGGCCCCCCGCCATGCCAAAGCACCAGTGATGACGTAGGCAGCATGTCTTTTCTCGTCTTGACGTAGGGAGTTTGTACCACAAGTTATGATTCCGCCAGCTTCTGCTTTATGCATACTTGGTTTTACTACTAATTAACGTTCTAAAATAATTTTTTTTCATATCTTTTTTGTGTTTTCCTCTTCGCCTTAGTTAATCAAAATTAAATAATATTTTTCATTATAAATTTAAATTCTAAACAACGACCGCTGGCGCAAACAGCTGACAACTTATCTAATGACGTTGGCAATGGTGCTACACCATATGACCGCGATTACCAACGAGGCCGATAAGCAATCCTAGTGTGTATTATCCTTGGTAGTCACTTGACAGAATATTAGATTGGAAAGCCATGAAACAATTGAAACAAAACAAAAATAAAGAGGATAGAGAATGTCAAATTTTTCAAATTACACGCAAAATACACGCTTTTTGTTCATGTTCGAAAAATACACGCAAATCGTGTAATTACACGCTAATTGGCAACACTAGTTTTGACAACTATTACGTTGCATAACATTACGGTATACAGCCCATTAACTTTCCTTATAACGGGATTCGGTAACGCTGATTTCGTTAACGCGGTGATTTTTGACAGATAGTTATGTACGTAAATAACGGAAGCGCAGTCGAAAGAACTCTTTAGTAGCTCGAGTGTTTTAAACTCTTGAAAGGAATACAACTATTGTTTATCATCCTTGCGCTAGGGTCCAAGGAGACGAATGATACACACTACTACTACAGAATACTACTACTAGTACATGCTGCCTACGTCACAACTGGTATTTTGGCATGGCGGGAAAGGGGGGGAGTGTCTGGTTGTTACCTCAGGTACTTTCTATGCTCTAGTGCATAGAAAGTACCTGCTAGGTAACAACCAGACGTTTATCAGTCAGTCCATAATTTGGCCCTAAGGAATACTTATCCTTAGGGCTCCCCTTAAATAGTTGGTGGAAACGGCCATAAGTGTATATCATCCTTACTATTAAGCTGGATTCTCACTGTCGCAAAATTCGCTCCTTTGTGACATTGTTACGTTTTACGTTTTATGCGTGTATCAAACGTCAAATTGTCGAAGCAATGTCAAAAAATAGCGAATTTCGCGCAACTGAGAATGAAGGCAATCTAATTCATCTGTCAAAATGAAAAATTCAATATGGCGTGGCGGCCACCAAGTTTGTTTTGAAAATGTGCTTTCATGCATATTTTAATGACAGATTACACGACGGTTTTCTACCACCACTTCGGTTTTAGATCGTCGTGTTTCAACGCGACGATGAAAACCGACGAGAAAGAACGTATGGTGTATTTTTTTCCAAGATGGATTTTAACATTGAAAATTTTGTAACATAAACAACACCGCTTGGCCTTGATTAGTCGCAAAATAAGGTGTCTCTGCAGGTCGAAAACAGTTTTACAATGCATGTCGTGCAAATGGCATCTTGTGACCAATAAAGCGGCATTGTTTATGTTTCAAAGTTGACAATGTCAAAATCTATCTTAGGAAAATAGTAGGTACATTATATATCTAGGTAGAAAAGTTGATCATTATATACGGAGCGCTTTAATAAACCGAGGCGCGTAGCGCCGAGGTTTATAATGCGTAAAGGGGCACCATACACTACGTTCTTTTTCGTCGGTTTTCATCGCCACGATGAAACACGTCGTTCCAAAACCGAAGTGTGTGGTAGAAAACCGTCGTGTTTTTCTACGGTTTTCTACCATACACTTCGGTTTTGGAACGACGTGTTTTATTGTGGCAATGAAAACCGACGAGAAAGAACGTAGTGTATGGAGCCCTGAAGGTATATAATGACTTTCTCTACCGAGGAATATGTAGAATTTTTTTTACTACTGCTTATAATAAAAAATTGGTTTAAAATCTGTGCTTGAATTTTTTTTTTTGAACGCCTTCTTGAAAGTGCTGTCTTCTATGAACAGCTTTGGTAACTTCCTATGTACCTACAGAAACCTTTTTTTTTTTTTTTAAATGACGTATGATATTGGAATTGAACCAACAGAAACATGACAATATCCTTGCGTCATGACATTTTCATTCTTGCCCTAGGTATTTTTTCATTATTTTCATTATTCACCTAGGGAGAGAAATTCAATTTTTTCCTAGAAAAATAGATTGAATAATGACTATTTCTCAGGTTAGTAGTAAAAAAAATACAGTTCAATATGTGGGGCCCTTAAGATTTCTGTCCTTGGGTGCAACGATCGATGCACCATATATTTAGGTATGATAGTAATGGAAAAAAACCTAGGTCAATGATGAAAATGACGTCATACGTCATGACGCAAGGATATTCTACTAATAGAAATTAAGAAAAAACAAGTTTCTGTATATATACATTAAAAGTTACCATAAGCTGGTGATAGAGGGCAGCACTTTCGCGCCTCCGGTTATAAAAGGGTTCGGTATTTATAATGACCAACTTCTTCACCTAGGTATATAACATACTACTTTAAAAGAGAATAATATACAAAATAATTCGAAATAATTAAATAATCCGTCCAGTACCTAACGAATTTACTTTTCTCATTTAAATGATTTGGCAACGTCGTTTTTTCAATATTTTTATGGCGTATATGACATGCCTATTTAATTTCACATTTTATCCATTAAACTCAAGTAAATGTATATTTTTATTAGCTAGTAGATGTAATTAAGCATAATTATCAATTATTACACAAATAAAATACACAACGAAACTGTATTTAAAGCCAATAATATTTGCCGATTCAAATTTGGCGCTCGTATTATTACTTGTCAACGCAGTCCTGTCACGTGACCCACGCTGGCCGCCATTTCTTGGAATAACAAACGACCGGGTAGGTACGTGTGTTTTTCTAGTGAAGGTTTTTGTGCAGAAGAACGGCCCAATAAATAGCTAAAAATGTCTGAAGTCGACTCGTCCAAAACCAACAACGCAGTAAAAGCGGAAAATAGTCAGGTGAGTAGTCGAATTGTCTTATTTTCAGCGGAAATGTGCCCGTAATATTAGACTGTGACTCGACGCGGCTAGCCCACGCTTTGTTTGCCTTGTCCTTCAATTAGGACCGAGTCACAGTCTCAACGATGCACCATAATATTAAGGTATTTTCGATTATTTCTTAGAAAATTTTGCGGTTATTCGGTGCTACAGGTTATTAAGGTCATTCCTGATAGCTTATCTCGAACAAGGACGCAATGAATATGCCTTAAAATACGAAAATTTCAATAATGTACGCCGCGGATTTCGAATCGAGCTACGACACACGCTTAGCGCTTTATTTCTCCTGGTAAAGTACTCGCTTTCTTCAAAGGCACGTCGTAGCTCGGCACTTAATTTTTGGAGGGAAAACTTAAATTTCAAGTTCAATAACTTCTTCGTGTAGGAATTCAATTAGCATATTAGTGCAGAATTAATTATTGTATTTTTTTTTTTTTAGAATGACAAAACCCCCAGAGGGAGAAAATCCAAATCTCCCAGGGTCTCCACCATTGACAGGGCTCGTGAGGAGAGCGAGGCCATTACAAAGGTAATTTGATTAAAATGTTTCAAGGAATTTGATAAAAGTTCAATTAGCACTTTTGTGTTGGTAGAGATTTTCAATTTTTATATCTGTATATTTATTAATGGAATATTTTCATAGAATTTGAGGACAAGCAAAGATTTTTAGGTTATGATCAGAGATTATTGTTTTTAAAATGTCCTTCAAACATTGTGTATTAGTAATAAATATTAAATAATTTCACCAATGTTCCTGTCTTGTGAAAAATGAAAAGCTTAAACTTACATATGTAAAAATGTGTGATGGGATTTATGTTTATGTATTGCTAATATCATTAGGTATTACTTAATGCTTAGGAACTAGGTTTTGTATTACATTTTCATTTTGTATTTTATTTGTTTTTAGAATCTTGACTCTTAATTTTTTGTTTTCCTTAACTAAATTAAAATTAAATGTAGAAAAAATTGAAGAAAATTGGATTTGATTAGTTGTTAGGTAGGTATAACAAATTTTATTACCAAAAACCCATCTGGATTTTTCTTATAATAAACCCGCACCAAAATGCTAAAACCGACCCATAAACCCAGTAATGATGGGTTTTTCTATACAACCCTGAACAGACACATTTTGCAGGTAAATACCTAGAAAACGAGAAAAGATAACCAGATGTGGTTTTTCTTGGAGAATAAGGGTTTTTTAAGGTTTTTTTTTTACCAGTGTTGATCATAGACTTGTGTTGACTTAAAATTTACCGACATTTAGGTTTATAAACATGCGATTACTGCCTTATTTTCAATAAAACACCTTGTATATTTTGTCATCCTCAGAAAGCCTGATTTTTCTAATTTACAAAAATTTATTTTTTTTTATCTTGAAATTGCACTTTGTAAAAGAGGAACTTCAAACTTTCAGGATTTATTGAGTAGGGTCTTTTTATCAAACAGAACAAACCACAAGTAAGTAGATCTCAGGCTCAGAAATTCAATTATGAATTTTTTCTCACTTAGGCTGGAGTCTCATGCATCCGTTTTCTGACAAAAGATGTCTGAAAAACCTTCTATTTTCATATATTATGATTGTCAGAATAGAAGGTTTTTCAGACATCTTTTGTCGGAAAACGGATGCATGAGATTCCAGCTTTAAATGCCAAAACAATCAGAGGGACTTCAAACTTTCAGAATTTATTACCAAGTTATATAAACCAATTCATTTTTTCCTAAATCAGATAAAATCAGTAAAAAATTTTTTGAATCACTAATATAATCTATAGTTGAATGAGGATAAATTTCTAATCTATCTATCTATTCAGCCTTCTTCAGTCCATCTTTGGACATAGGCCTCCCCCAGTCTTCTCCATTCTTCTCTGTCTGTTGCCATGTTCATCCAGGTGGATGATAATTTCTAATAATCACCTGTAAATCAATGTAAATTCATTTAAAAATAATTTAACTTCTGCCACAAAATTCAACAGACAAAGATAACAAAGTCCTGAGGTAAAACATGAGATATATTGACAAGCAAACAGTGAGAAACTATAGATAATTAAGCAGTTTAAATCTAACTCAAAATCACAAAAATCTCTGTCAATAAATCTCTGTTCATCATCATCATTATAAATCAGCTTAAATCTTATTCAAAATCAGCTTAAATTTTACTAAATCAGTTTTACTATAATGTGTAGAATGTATACTTTTTTTTTCACTTTTCCTCTGAGTTTTGTAAGTTTTATGTTTCGTCACAGGATATAAATTTGGCCAATAAAATATTTTTTCTCAGGGTTTGGATTCCCCAGTAGAAGGTAGAAGGATGACCAGGTCGGCCTCGAAGGGCTCGACCACCACAGCAACGCCTCCACCGCCAGCCAAGAAAGAGCGCAAGAGCCCGGCCGTGTCCACTCCCTCTGCGAGCAAAAGGGGCAGACGTCCAAAGAAAGCAGTGGAGGAAGAAAATTCGGAGAACCAACACGAAGACAAAGACGCCACCGCTTTGGGCGATGTTGAAGAGAAAAATGAAAAAGAGGAAGCGTCCAAAAATGACTCGGAAGCTTCACCGGCTGAGTCTTCAGAGGCCAAATCTGAGGCTATGGACACCAATTCCCACGAAGACAAAGAGGAGATTGCTAATAATAATGCGGCAGAGTCTTCTAAAGTAAGTAGACTTAATTTAAATTAAATAATATTTAGGTACATACATTTGTTTAAATGACTGTGCAGGGCCTAGGCAAAATACTTGTTTCTCAAGCAAAAACAAGAAAGATATTCTAGAAAAAAGTGTCACTTGAATTTGATAGTCTATTGCAAATCTACCTTTATTGGGAGAAGAATTTGTAGTTTCAACATGTTCCTCTCAGAGTGGTCTTTCAATAAGATTTTTTCATTATTTTATTGATGTTTATTTGGGTATTTTACCATCATCTAATATCTATTGAAAATCAACATTTGAGAGAGTTCTATTTGACTTAAATCCTAGATTTTTCTACAGGTTTGATTTGAATTTTTGGAAACTTTGAAAAATCTTATCTATCCAATTCTATTACAGATAGAAAGCTGAAATTTTCTGTGAATCTAATCATAGTACTTAGAGGACTACAATCCTTGGAAATATTAACTCATTTGGACCTTATGTTCAAAGATTCTGGCTTCAAATTGAATTCAAGGGCCTGGAATAGAAAAAAAATGTCCTCCTAATTCCTCAGTTTTTGTCAATTTCACGCTCTTGAATTAGTGTTTTCTCTAACATCAAGAAAACCCATGAGCCAAGAATAAAGCAATAATTTTCCAAGTATTTCCCATTTACTCAACTATTTCTCATAGTTTGCAGACATATTTGAACCCAAGCCTGAAAACTTCACAACTTCAAATTCTGTTTTCTTTTTCCATAGGAATCCGAGGCTACTGAAAACGGTGCAAAAGAAGAGGACAGTGTAGATGCTTCGGCTACCTCAGAGGACGAGAAAAAAGAGGAAGCCGCCAGTAGCACAAATAGCGAGGAGGCGGCACCTGCCAGCGACGAACCAGCAGAAAAAGCTTCTTCCACGGAAGAAGAAAAATCGGCAGAATAATTGCACCAACCACAGCCGATTTTATTAAAAAAAGTGTGGTAGGAAAATGCAATGGTAAAATAAGGGGGTAATAAGGGGATTTTTATATATTCAAAATTTTTTTGACTATTCAATCAAAATGGCATTACATATTCTGATGGTGTATTACTTTAGTCTTAAGAAATACACAATCAGAAGTAGATAAATAAATTCAATTACATAATTCATTCCCCATTATTTCAGGCCTAGGCTTATTTTACTGTTGTTTTCTAATAATTCATTTTTTTTTTTTTGGTACTTTTTTCTGGAAAAATGTGTTAATTTTTCAAAAATGGTTATTTTTACTTGATTTTGTTTGATTATTACTTAGGTGTAATTATATAGGGGAGTGGTTGGCGTCTTGAAACCAATAATTTTCGTATTCGTTTGACTCAATGCAGTCATTGTCAACTCCCTATCTGTAGGTTAGTATCAAGTCTTTATGTATATTGTATTTTGTTTTGACAATAACTGTCTTTGATTACATAATTATTTTTTCACAAAGTCTAAATTAGTGTATCCTGAATCTTTATCCATGTATTTGTAAAATATTTGATAACATTTTGCGGTCAGTGGAAACAAAACTCCTTTTAATCTAAATTTATTGTACATATTGTATGGTGATAGATATAAGGCAATTTTTCCATGTACCATTCTAAATTTGGGAGAACATTATTTGTCTATTTTCGAAAGCCATTCTTGAATCTTTATATTTTTGACAGTTTTACAAAACAACTAAAAACATGATGGAAATTCTCTTGGAAATTTTGGAAGGAAACAATAAAGTTTCTAAATTTCCTCTGTTACAAGGCAAGTTCTCCCAATTTTTCTTTTTGATTATCAAATAATTTGCAATCTGTAACAGTTTATGGTTCCTTTTTAATACCCTAATATTTGTGTGTGTTTTCTAAGCCTAAACAAATAATAAAAAAGTCTTTCCTCGAATTCAAATGCTGCAGCTCTGAACATTATAATTATTAATAAGAGAGTCTTGTTTAAACAAACTTGTAAATACTAGTTAAAAACAAGACTTTATTGCTGTTAAAAAGGAGTATAATAAACTGTTATTGCTTCTAACCGCCCCCCCATGAATTAACTTTTTCTTTAAATTTTAGTTACTTATATGGATTAGGTAAATTCTTGTTCATCACAAGCAGTCGAAAAAAAAAATTCTAAGCGAGAATGCACTAATATCTATACAAAAAACAAAGAAAACGAGACATTTGTTTGTGAATTATTATGATAATTCTTGAAAGTACTGTAGTCTTATGTTTGTATTTTTATAGACTTATGTAGTAATATATTTTGTTTCCTTCTGACGTGAAGTTAAACAGTAATGTCTTTATTTTCTATTTATGTAATAATCTATAACGTAAAGGTTTTAAATCAATGTGAAAATAAATTTTCATTAGAGATAAATAATATGAATGTTTTTCTTTATTATTACCCATTAATAAAGTAATATTGGCGCAGCCTCTTTGTGATGGGGGGTGTACGGTGGATAGATGGGGAAAAACTTGCTCAGTTTTATATAAAAAGTGTATATTTGCTAAGAAGTCATTAAATCATGAATCCTCCAGGATTCATGCTCTTTAGTGGAAAGGGCCACACGTTTGACGCTACTTACGAAGGAATGTCGTTTTAATGCTAATGTTACCTAGAATGTTAATCGTCGTTTAACTGATCCTCATCTAAAGGGGCTTTCCCAGGGTGGCGGTACTAACACTGGTCCACTATTTATATAAATTTATTGCGGACTTGCAATAAACATCAGATTGAATCGACAATTAAATTAATAAGATTGAATACTGGGTTCTCCTTTTTTAAGTAGCTAGATGACAATATTGTCAACTAGCTGCTTAGGAAAGGAGGACCCGGTATTCAACCTTATTGTCACAACTGCCCGCTTTACGGGGGTGACATGGGGGGTTTGTATGGGGGTCGATGGAGAGAAATTCGCTCAGGTTATATAAAAATATAGATATATATTTTCCCAAATATGCTGTTACATGTACGCTAAAAGATGCATGACCTTTCAAACATTGGGGTCCTTATAGGGGGTCACTCCTCAACGCTGCTTGGGGGACTGTAGAATAGTTTATCGTCACCCTTATGCCTTTTCCAGAGAGGCTTTCCCAACGAGAGGTGATTGCACTGGACAACGATAAGGCTGAAGATACCCAGAGGGGCTCTCCCAACGAGAGGTTCTTCCACTGGGGTGACTTAATTCCAGAGGGGCTTTTCCAACGAGAGGTACTTGCACTGGTTTAAGTCTGCCTTTGCTGCGGCTTGCAGCGCAATTTATATTCGTTTATTGCTGAATTGCGATAAACATCCGACCGAATCGGCAATTAAATTAATAAGGTTAAATACCGGGTCCTCCTTTCCTAAGCAGCTAGTTGACATTATTAATTTAATTGCCGATTCGGTCGGATTTTTATTGCATTTCAGCAATAAACGAATATAAATTGCGCTGCAATCCGCAGCAAAGGCAGACTTAAACCAGTGCAAGTACCTCTCGTTGGAAAAGCCCCTCTGGAATTAAGTCTCCCCAGTGCAAGTACCTCTCGTTGGGAAAGCCCTTCTGGGTATCTTCAGCCTTATCGTTGTCCAGTGCAATCACCTCTCGTTGGGAAAGCCCCTCTGGACAAGGCATAAGGGTGACGATAAAATAATCTACAGTCCCCCAAGCAGCGTTGACGTGTGGCTCCCTATAAGGGCCCCAGTGTTCGAAGGGTCATGTGTCTTATAGGACTAGCGTACATGTAAGGGCATATTTGGGAAAATATATATCCACACTTTTATATAACCTGAGCGAGTTTCTCTCCATCGACCTCCAAAGCTACAAACCCCCCATGTCACCCCCGTAAAGCGGGCAGTTGTGACAATATCATTAAAGACATTTCCAACTACAGATGAAAGAAATCTATAAATCGAAACTCAACAAGATGTTATTGCAGAGCAATAGCAAAAGCTACATGGTTATCCACAATTTGCAGGTAGCCAAATTCAAAAGTTAACTTGGAACACCTGGATATCAATCTAAGAAAATATAATAAAGAGTTTTTTAGATATGGTATGGATCAAGTAAGATCATAATAGGGCACACTGTATTACCCGAGAATTAACATTTAAGCAATTTCTTGGTAATGAAAACATCGAATCATAGATGGCAATAAGAGTCAGTTTATTCGGTTTATTGAAAAAATAAGTTATCCAAGTTACTTTTAAGTCCATTTCCTTGAAATTGAGGCGGTATTGCACCTCATACTGATTGTTTAACATTCTAGTCTAATCCTGAGATTTATTTTTTCCGATCTGGGTACCTACTTAAACTTCTAGTTTATACAGTGTTTTTGGGAAGTTGAACATTTTCTAGAATTGAAAATTCAAAATAGCTCCATTATTGTAGCATACCTTGCAAAAGGCATCTTCTGCATGTTACTTAGATTTAATAAATAGTACATAAAATTCCCAAGTTTCAATTTTATACAGGGTGATTGTAAAAGTCAGCAATGCAAAATGAAATGACTCTATATCCTATATCTATGTTAGCACTTTCAGAAACACCCTCTGCATAACTTGAGTACCTACCTATTCAGTTTTTTCAAAAAAATCCAAACTCAACTCCATAAAATTCTGGACCAAATTCCTCAGTTTCAACTTTATGCAAGGTGATTGTAAAAGTTAGAAATTTTCTAAACATGCAAAATAATTCTATTTTTGTGGCTCTTTGTTGCGTAAATATTGATAGTAATTAACACGACTAAATACCTGACTCATCTATCTCAAAATCTAGGTATATTTGGGTAGAACTAAAAAAAATTCTTTCAAATTTTCCAAAAGCCAATTCCTGTTACAAGCACATGACATGCATAATCAATGGTGCATTGAACTCCCGAAAATGTTTCAGAGGGGCGAACTACTGGATCAATTATTCCCAAAATCGTGGAAAAACTGTGGGAAGGGAGTTGCCATGGCAAACACAACGAATGGAGTGCGTTTGAATTATCACGTAACCCAAGTGCGTAAGGATTTTGACGAAAAATTAATCAAAATAAATATTTTCGATACTTATCAGTAGTAGGTAGGTACTGAAATCCTAAACAAATAGGAGATCCTCCCGCGTAAGCCCAAAACAAATTTCGGGTTGTGCCATAGGCCAACAACCTCTCTTTTGGATCGTACTTATAGTACCCAGGGGAGCGATGACCCCCGAAAAAATGCACCAACGACTAAAGAGTCGCTATACAGAAAGGCAGAGCGATAGGCCCATACCGGAATTAGGTCACATTGTATCAATAGAATGAGCTAGTTTTAGATTAGGTGTTCAATGACCTTTTTTTTTTCAGTGAGATTTTCACTGTGAAGTATTTTGAGTCAGTTATCGGTTGATGGCAATATTTATTTCATGTGCCACAAACTTCAAAAAGTCACCATTGGAAAAGAGATTGAAGGAGATAGGTAGGTATAGAAGATTTATTCAAAAAAAGATTAGGAATAAGACGTACAAACAAAAGTAAGAAAAACAATAGGGGATTAAAGAAAAATGAATCATATGGAAGATGCCAGAAAATAAAATCAATATTAGGATGACAAAGAAGCACTAGGGATAGTTACAATAACAGATTATGAATAGGGTGAACACTTTGAACTATTATACCAACGAGCACATTTTCAAGAAAAAGATAGGTAGGTACCAGGGAAGAAACTCTGGATCAGTTGATCTTTCGGCAGAAATTAATAAATATGGCACAGAAGAACTATTTTATCAAAAATTTGTTCCAGAAATATCTACTTAAACGGAACAAAAGTTCCAGAGGAATCGGAAACAAGCTACCTACTTAACTATACAGAAATAGCGAGGTATCAATTAAAGAATTACAATAATAATTATTATTCAATTAATTGTTGTATTTTTCAAACAAAACTAGGAAAAATGTTGCAACATCAAGGTAGTTTTGATTATTGAGGTACATTTTTGCCTCACTATTAAACTAATAGAAAATATATAATATATGTTCCTCCAAAATGTATTTTTTACTTAAACACACACCCTCAAACACACACAAACTCCCTGATTGGCATACACCTCCCAGCAGGATATCCCATTACCATCATTGAAAGCATTTCGAAGCCAAGGACTTTGCGTTTTCTGAATGAAACTTGGAAAACTACGCTCTCCTACGCTCGCTCTCAGAGGCGTAGTCCCTTTGAGCCAAAGTGTGGGACGATAATATAAGGGATGGATATTTTAAGTAAACGCATACAAAAACAACTATCATCTAAAATATAAAAGTTCAATGTACCAGCAACCGTAAAGTGCTCTGTTTCCTTCACGCCGAATGAAGAGCCATAAATTGTTAAAGTAAAGAAGCCAATACCAAAACAAACTCAGGATTGTGCAAGGCTAACAACCTTCCCTCGGTAAATTCTTGAGAACTTGCAGTCAACGAACCCCGAAAATGCACTTTGATGAGAGAGATCAACAACGGCCGTGATATGCGTGACTGCTTACTTACAGATTACATGAGGCTTTCACTTCCAAAGAAAGACCCCAGCGTTGAATTATTACCTTAGTCATTCAAGGATTTTTTTGTCAATTTGTTTTTGTCAATATCTTACATTAAATTACGAAAACCTTTTGAGAGTTATTATACTTTTGAACCGGGTAGTAAGGATAAATTAAATTCTACTATGGAGAAAAAGGCATTGGGAAAATAGAGAAACTCAACTTGTAGCCAGTTATCAACAAAGTAATAGGTACTCGCCGTCAGAAGCTGCTTTTCAGGATATTGGCTGAGAAGTTTTTCCATATTCGCTTTATTCTGCTGATGTTTTTCTATGAGATTTTCATCTTTCCAATCATTCGGTCTCTATTCTATCCAGTGGCGGCTCGTGACTATTTCAAGTGAGGAGGCTAAAAAATATAGTAAAAGTATTAAAATCAATTGACAAAGAACGGGTTCGTCTAATTCCGGCCCTTCGGGCTTTTATAATAGTCAGTTTTGAATTGTACAAATATCATATCCCGTGTGCAACTTAGTGAAGCAATATCATGCGATACCTTAAAATTTCCAGGAAAATGTGTAGATTAAAAATTTTAATGGGGCGTATCTCGCAATGGCGGCAGAAGGGCGAGAACCACTCTTATGCAGTAGGGAAGTACCTATACTACGTATATTATTCAAAAACATATTTCCTTCAATATAAATGGATTTCATAGTATCCACCACTTTTGTTTCAGGTAACGTCGATGAGATGTTTAAAAATATTACGAGACCATCCCCTGATCGGGGGATGATTTCATAACACAGCTTCTTTCAAGCATATACTAAATTAACTGTTGCAACTAACAACAATAGTCAAGCAACATGCAAATATTGTAATGTGATAATATTATGAAATCGTGGCCGCCCAAACATCTGAAATGTAACTTCTTAGGCGGCGATCTAATATTTGGACGATA